GAAAAAACGTTGAGAAAATGAGTTGAATTTTCGTATATATATGGATTAATTTGTAGGTTAAAAGGCATATACAATCTCAAAAATGTTTGTTATGATTTAATTTGGTAGTTATTTTCAATGCAACGTACTCCTTTTGTATTCTTCAAAATTATTTCGGAGTGGATCCACTCCGATTTGCTACATTGCAAGTATATGGGACGTATTCTAACTGTGGTGAGGGCTTGTCCCGAGACACAGTTAGATTATTCTAACTATATTCAGAATAGCTTAATTTAGCTATTTTATATCAGTTTTTCTTAAATGTGTACTTTTCTCAGCATGCACAAAAAGTCGCACCTTGGTGCAGTGATGATACTCAACCTTGAACTCATCTGAAATTGATGCATTATAAAACTCACTCATTAAAATCTCCTTGCATTCATGTAATAATTTTTAGGCCCAAATACTGTACAGCAGTCCTCAAAATACTGGAATTTGGGTGAAAATACTGTACATTGTTCATAAAAAAACTGTAAAAAATATCAACCAAAAATCAATGTAAGAGGTTCATTTTTAGCTCTTCTGAGCCAAAGGCCCAAAGAGCTAATGCTATGGCCATTTGTGCGGTGTGCGTAAACTTTTTAGAATATGGGCCATAACTCAAGAACCCTTTGGCCAATTATTGTCAAATTTGTCACAGGGTATCCTTGGGCCAAGGGCTTCCGTTTATACTAAAACTAGGGTTGTGACCCTTAAACAAGGGGAGATAATTAGGAAAATAGAAACAAAAGAGACTTTGTACTCAAAGTTCTAAAAGTTTTTAGGCTACGTGCGCAATTGATACAGTTACTTCTTCAATGAAATTATAAAGGAGGCCAATTATGGTCAAGAAGATAATTGATTGGTAATAATTCAGTACAATGAGAAGCAATCATACTTATCCATGCCTCAATGCACACAAGGTAGTGGACAGTTACTCAAATAATAGAAATTTATCTTTTGCTTAAAAGTATTCAAAAGTTGCAAAGTTGGAGATATCTTTGATTTTGCTTGTTGTTTCGATAGCCCATAGCACATATATGAATGGTCAAATACATGCAACTTTTTGTCTATTTCTTACCAAAATAATTTTTGTGAAAAACTGCATATAAATAGCTAAATTAAGCTATTTTGAATAGCTTAATAAAGCTATATAGCTATTTCAAGCTATATAGCTAAATTAAGAGATTGTACTGGACCTGCTTATTTCCCAACAATAAGACTTTCTTTATGTATTCTGCAAATTCTCTCTGCATTTATCATTGAACAAAATTCATATGACTGCAATTATATGACCATACTCTTCAGTTTAGAGAGCATGTTATAGAGGATATTTTGGTTAAAGTTTTGGTCTGTTAAGGTTTCAGTCTGTTTCAGTGTTTGAAATATTCTTTCATCTTACACAATTGTATACATTAAAATTTATTTTATAGCTAAAGTACAAGAGAACTGCAGCATGTAAGACTACATGTACATCGACTTTGAATAATCTACCTGGTATATCCTCAAAAAGGCAACTCAAATACAGGTATGAAATTGATGTCACAAAATAAGTTTTTGGACTTACATTTACTCTTATAATTCATATACATATAAAGCATATAAAAAATAGAAAAGAATTAAAGGTTCATCAGGTGACAGCTCAATCATGTATGGAATATTATTAGGCCAAATAAAAAAATATGTGTGGTTCCCGTTACCCGACCGTCCCTATTTTAGATCCCTGACCCTTAACTTTTTTCTGGCAATTTTCATATTTATTTTCCGGAATTTTCCGTGATTTCCATCATCCACTTCGGTATTAGTTTTAGTTACAGCAATGGCGACCTCCATGCAAAAATCGTTTCAACACGTAGTGCAAGTGTTTGATGGTGTTAAATCTAAAGCAAGCTAGCATGGCGCAGCAGAATACCTTTTTCCAGCGCCATGTCTTTGTTTGTTTGTTTTTTGGTTGCCAAAATTAAATAAATATGCCCAAGAGTGGCGAGATTCAGTTAGTTGCTCTGTTTACAGCTGGTTTATAACAAGTGCATGCTGATTAGTCCCTTTATTATTAATGCACGCAAAGGTGTGAAGTCAGGATAGGAAATCAATTCTCGCTTGAAAGCACACAGACAGCTGGCCAGGTAACGTTTTTTGGAGTTAGAGGGAAGATAACATGAGAAAACATTTATTTGATTGCATTGATTACGCAAGAATTAGCCCAATGTGTAAGATAGATTAACTTGTAAATTATTAAATAATTTATATCAGGATCGTTTCTTTTAAACCGAAAGTAGAAAAAAAAAACAGTTCATGAGGAAACGTGAAAAAGAAGACTGCTGATTTCACCTGAATAAAGTCAACTTGCAAAACACCAATATATATGAGAAATGAGCTTGGAAGTATGAAGTCTTCAATGAGGCAAAAAGGTTTCATGAAAGGATTTAAAATTTTAATAATATTAAATATTTGTAATTCTGACGAATTTGAATCATTCTATGTCATCTTGCTTAGGTGATTTATTTTGTTTTAAACATTACTGTACAAAGTATAGGTGTCACATTCTTTTCCTCTGACAGCTCTTAAAAGTTTATCGTTCAAAATTTATTATTAAGTAAAATAAGAACTATTCTGGATAAAAGTAATTAATTTCATTTATAAACACTGATTTTAAACAAAAGGATGTTCACCTTGGACTTTATTTTTTACAAAAAGAAAAGATTGTGTTTTCATTATTTTTATGCCCCTGGATTGAAAGATCCCGAGGGTATATTGTTTTTGTCCTGTCTGTCTGTTTGTCTGTTTATCTGTTTGTCTGTTTATCTGTTTGTCTATCTGTCTGTTGTCAATTTTAACCTTGCCCATAACTTTTGATTGGTTGGAGCTATGACTTTCATATTTCACATGTGTATTCTTTGTGACAAGACCTTTCTTTGGGTACCATCATATTTGACCTTTTGACCTTGACGTTGGAGTTTGACCCACTTTTGCAAAAATTTATGAGACTTTAACCTTGACCATAACTTCTGAACAGTTGGTGCTTGGGGTTTCGAACTTCACATGTGTATTCTTTGTGACAAGGCCTTTCTTTGAATACCAACAACTATGACCTTTTGACCTTGACCTTAGAGTTTGACCTACTTTTGAAAAACTTTAACCTTGGCCATAACTTTTGAACGGTTGGAGCTAGGGCTTTCATACTTCACATATGTAATCCTTGTAACAAGACCTTTCTTTGGATACCAACAACTTTGACCTTGACCGTGATGTTTTACTTACTTTTAAAAAACTTTAACCTTTGCCATAACTTTTGAACAGTTGCAGCTAGGGCTTTCAAATTTAACATTTTTTATCTTTTGGCCTGGATTTTGACTTGCATTTGAGAAACTTTAACCTTCGCCATAAGATGCCATACGGGGGCATCAGTGTTTCACAAACACATCTTGTTGATTTAAAAATATTTGTTTCATATTCATAACTAGGGTGCCCCCTACCAATGTTGACTAGTATATTTCACGCCACATCGAAATGCCACTTATTTTCTCCTTCACTCTGTTCATCCACAAATAAAACATTTCTTTTCTGAACCATAGTTGGAAAAGACTGAATTCAAAATAAACAAAACATTTATTAGTTATGATTTATATACTCAGCTCTTCACAAAATATTTCTGTTTTTTCGCATTCTATAATATACAATTTTAGATTTTATATACCTGTATAAAGACTTCCGCAGCAGATTCCGATGGAGAAATCATGATCTATATTTAAGATTTAATGTATAATGCTTAAGATATCCATTAATTTTACTTATAATATACAATTCTGAAATTAATATCATCCTTTAAAAACAAGGACAGCACTTATCATCTTCGTAAAAACTTAACATTCTAAAAAAAGAAAATATAATATCCAAATAACAGTTAAATAATTCAATTTGCTCATGCTGATTTTCTTCAAACATTGTATTTTCTGGATGAGTATGAACTCGAATGAATAGAATCATCAAACAACTGTTTAAATACCCAAGACATTTTATTCACACATTAAAGCACATATCTAATCCATATGCTTAAGAGAAAACATATCTAACACTCTACACATAAAATAGTTCACTTATGCTAACGAAAAGAAATAGGTATTATTTGGAAAAATTTAGAAAATCATTTTGTTAAAAAAAAAAAAAAAAAAAAAAAAAATCCCTACCCACCTTCCCTATTTTTTTTGGAGGTGTAACCAGAACCACACATATTTTTTGTTTGGCCTTAATGCTGGGTTTCCAAATGTCAAAATTAAGGGTATTCGATATATTCCATACAAGTTGTCAATCATTTATAAGTGATTTGTACAGAGGTTCATTTGCATATAAATGTTGTTAACATTGTTTTACTGTCTTTATTAACTTGTAATACTAAATTTTATAAATTGACAAATTCATTCTTTTTAGAAAGTGCATATAATTTGGAAAAGAGACCATCAATCCACTGGGGGCTATCGCATGAAAGCAATGATTATAGAATATTGTAAGGTTGGAGGAGTTATAGTACAACAGGCAGGCAAGTAATGATACTTTGTTCTGGAAATTTTTTGCCCCAGTTAAGTTTTATTTTTCTCATTCTGCCCTCCTTACAAGTAGGTGAATTTAAAACGGGACAAATTCGAAGAAGGCAGCATATATCTTTTACACACAAATGTGTCTGATCAAATTTTAAAAGGGCAAAATTGTTTTCAAGGGTGAAAGAGTGAATATTTTAAAAATTAGAATGGGGTGAAAATATCCAATAATACAGGTTATATGTATTAAAACAGTACGTATGCATTTCTCTTTTCTTTAAAATGAAAATAATTTGTTCTGTAAAAGGACAAATTTTGTTCTGATTTGTATCAAATAAATAAATATGTGCCAGATTTATTATTTTGCAGGCACCTAAGATACCATCAGTTGTGCGTCAAGCTGTGCAAAAATTCTATGTCATGTTACAGAATCTTTCTTAAATACAGGTATATGTCTGCTCATCTGGCAATCTTAGGACATCACTGGATGGTTTTGTTTAAAAAGATTACAGAGTTAACACACACTTCCAGCATGAAGACCAGCCAGTTGCCTCACCTGTCCTGACATTGTTAAAGGTAAATGGCCCTTTCAGAAAAGGATCTGACAATGCAAAGGCTTGCTAATCAATTAAAGATTTCTATTTACTAATAGGTAATTAATTTGAATTTCTGTAGCTTAAAAATTTAATGATGTAAATTAAAAGAAATACTTTAATCAAAATTATTTTTATTTCAGTACTTTGTGACAGTGAAAAGACATGGCTTTAAATTACTGTATCAGAGATCAATCCAGGTTATAAATCTGAGGAAAACAATAAAGCATCACTTCGAGCTACTTATATCACTGCCTTAATAAGTTGTCTGCATGTGTAACTAACAAAGGACAGTGACCAGTTGTACCTATGATATCAGAGGGCATCCTGAAAAACACTCATCACTAAGAATAGAAAACTTCAAATGACTTTTGTATCAATCCTTTTGAATTTCATCTGGCTTGGAATTTCAGTAGCCTTTAGCATCCTTCAAGCATTTCATGAAGTACATGTACCAATTTGCAGGTATAAAATGTTTGAAACAGATTGCTTGTCCCAAATAAAAAAAAATAAATTCTCTGCCAATTAATAGTGTCATAAGCAGTTGATTGATATCACAGTTCCACTGGCATAGTATTTGTAGTTGAATGGTGCCATTTTTAAGAAAACTTTTCACAAAAACGTGGAAAACATCAGATGGAAAGGAGCATCTACAAGAAAAACAGTGAACACTTTCTTGAATATTAACAATGATATGTCATGTCCATTTACATCCTTTATATAAACTAATTAACCAAATCATAGAGAATTATGTATAAATTTGTCCTTTTGTGTATTCATAGTGTATTAAATTGATTTTACTAATTTATAAATATTTATGTTTTTCACAGTCATTAACATTTACAAATAGAAGTACATATAACATGAAAATATTACATGTTTAGTAGGATAACGTGAAATTGTTATACCACAAAAACCATCGCTTACCTCGCCTCGGTCAGCAATGGTTTTTAAGGGGTAAGAATTTCACATCACCCAAAATAAACAGGTAATATTTTTCTTGTTATAGAATGCATTTTAAAGAAAACAACAAGGTGAAACGAACGTGCAAACATTCTGCACAGTTAACATTTTTTATTACTGTATATACTGTTACCCGTAGTCATGCATTTTCAACCATTGGGATGTAATGTCTGGCATGCAGTATGGTAATAGTACTTGTTAAGAAATGTTTTTTAAACCAATCAAATTTGACTATTTAACATGAAAGTGTATAACAAATTTATCTAGCATAATGGTGTTGTAAGTAACCATGGAATGTGAGCTTGTGTGAACTTGATCCTGAAGTATCAAGTTTTGAATATTGTAATAAAGAATTGTGCAGCCTAAACTTTAACTTGTACCTGATTTAAATGGAGTTCCGTCATTAACAAGTTGGAAGTTGTTACACTCTCCATGAGTATAATAACTGGGGTATCTGCTTCATTTGCAGATACATGGATAACACATTCACTCAAAGCGCTGTCTCTTTTTCAGTACCTTGTGCAGCCCTGTAATATGTTATGACAAATGGAGAAAAATGCCTATTTCAAGAAAAAAAAAGTCTGTCTCATAATTGTAGAAGTATTGGAAAAGGGGGGTGGGGGGGGGGGTGGTCATGAAACTTAGCAGTTAATACAGTTTGTATGTGTAAATGAAAAAAATGCCTTCTTCTTTGTAGAATAAAAAATAATTATTTTTTGAGTGTATGTGACCATTTTTATTTCTGAATAGACAGGGTAGCCTACAGAATGACCAATTTTGAGCTGACCATTTTTATTTATTGTAGTAATTAAATTAAAAAAAATGTGTTTTCTACAAAGATCATATGTTATCGACGTGGTATTCAACTTTGTATTCCCATGGTCGATGCATTTGGGTACATCTATTTTTTTATTTGCTTTCAACATGTTCAATGACATCGCATTCAATATCCCAATCTCATGTATACCTGTCCAATACTCCAAATTATACCATATTGTAAGCTAAATCAATGCTTTAAATTTATGAAACCAATCTGTAGATAAGCGTACCTTTTGAATACAGACGATTTTAGAATAAAAACGATTTAATTTTCCCTTTATGTTTAAGTATGTTGGCTAATCTTGGCCCCCTCGGAATAGCTTGTGTTTACGTTATGTAATGAAAAAATAAAGCAATTAAACGCTATTTACCTGCATCTATCAATCCATTTTCTCGTCTTCTTTGCAACAATCGGGAATCAAAACAAACTACAAGTTTAATAATTCCACTGCGATGCTTACAACTTAAGTAATCCATTGTCTCCAAGAACGCTCAGGTACCCGGGAGTTATAAAACGAAAGTGAAAGTCAACGAGACTTACAGACCCTTTGAATTTTCCTATAGTATACATGATAGATAAGTGTAATAAATATAATTTGTGATCAAAACAAACTACAAATTCTACTGGGCTGCTTAAAACTAAATGCGAAGCTGTAATCCATTGTCTGCAAGAATGGTAAGTTATAAAACGAAAGTGAAAGTAAATGAGAATTAAAGGCTATAGTCTTGGGAGCAGTTGTTATTTCATAAATAATTTGAATAGGTGATATCACCTATTGGAATAAGTGATATCACCTATTCAAAATGATTTAGTGATATCACCTATTCGAATAAGTGATATCACCTATTCGAATAGGTGATATCACCTATTTGATTTGAATAGGTGATATCACCTATTCGAATAAGTGATATCACCTATTCAAAAGGAATAAGTGATATCACCTATTCGAATAAGTGATATCACCTATTCGAATAGGTGATATCACCTATTCGAATAGGTGATATCACCTATTCGAATAGGTGATATCACCTATTCGAATAGGTGATATCACTCATTCAAATTGAATAGGTGATATCACCTATTCGAATAGGTGATATCACTTATTCGAATAGGTGATATCACCTATTCGAATAGGTGATATCACCTATTCAGAAGCTGAATAGGTGATATCACTTATTCCAATAGGTGATATCACCAATTGAATAGGTGATATCACCTATTCGAATAGGTGATATCACTTTTTGGCAGTAAATACCAAAACGGCGCCTCATATATACACGCTATAACTTGCGTCAGTTAAAAATAAAGTTGGAAATTTATTTATTTTGTTTACCAAATAAAGTTACGAAAATATTGTAAATTATACAATTGGAAATGAACGCATTATAAAGATCTCAAATATAATCATTTATTATCCTACTAGGAAAGAAATGCCATATTTAAATTCATGCATCATGTGACACCGTCGCTACTTTTAGATTGATAAACAAAAATGGCGTCAAGAAAACGAGGTAGGCCGTTTGGTATACAAAATAGCTTTTGACATTGATGGCATGCGTTTTTTGTTTAAAAGATACTTATCTTTGAAAACAACCATTATTAACCATCTACTCTGTAATGACAGATATTAACTTTTATTCAAAATAGTAGTCAAAATGCAACGTACCTCGTTGTCTATGATTTCCCGCGGACATGCGTGTCTACATACTGTTTACGCACTTCCTTCATCAATATTCATGAATAGGCTGAATTCTTAATTGCAGATCTTGCTTAATTGTTTTTTTTTTATTACAACGACTTATTTAGTAAAACTTTGTGGAAAGTAATCATTTTTTATTACACATCATGTTTCTCAAATCATTTAATCATTTTGTTTCACATAAAAAATCGCGTTTATATAGCGTGTATTCCTTTAAATACATACACAAAGTCTTATTATACCCTGTTATAATTTGATATTTATAATCTTTTATTTTGTGTAAAGCCACTGAAAAGTAATGAAACCACCTGGTAACATATTTTTAAGGCTTAATTTTATGATAAAATGTCATAACTTTAAAACGTCACAACTCAGAAACCCATCAATTATTGAAAAAAAAAATTGTACACTGTATTTGTAATGTTGAATTATTGATGTTTGACTATCTATTAATGTTTTATATGTCCCCGTAATCGAAGATTCGGGGGCATATTAATAGTTGCTGCCCTGTCCGTCCGTCTGTTTATTTGTTTGTCTATTTGTCCGCAAAAACTTTAACCCTGCCCATAACTTTTGATTGGTTGGAGCTATGGCTTTCATATTTCACATGTGTATTCCTTGTGACAAGACCTTTCTTTGGGTACAATCATATTTGACCTTTTGACCTTGACCTTGGAGTTTGACCCACTTTTGCAAAATTTTATGAGATTTTAACCTTGGTCATAACTATTGAACAGTTGGTGCTTGGGCTTTCAAACCTCACTTGTGTAATCCTTGTGACAAGATCTTTCTTTGTATTCCAACAACTTTGACCCATTGACCTTAACCTTGGAGATTGACCTACTTTTGAAAAAAACTTTAACCTTAGCCATAAGTTTTGAAAACTTGGTGCTGTGGCTTTCATACTTCACATGTGTATTCCTTGTGACAAGACCTTCCTTTGGATACTAACAACTTTGACCTTTTGACCTTGACCTTGGAGTCAGGGATGGGGTAATCGTAATCGAATAATCGTAATCGATTGTAATAATTACTTTTTTTCAAGTAATCGACAGTAATCTGTAATCGAAGAGATTTTCGATTACTTGTAATCGTAATTTAATCGATTACAGCTAAAATTTTTAATGTAATTATAATTACTTTTCCGATTACTTCCGATTATTTTATGCATAAATGGATGTTATTTTGGAGAATTATTTCCAGTCAGTCACCCATAAATATCAAATATAAACCACCTAGTGTAATGTTTGGATTTCCTAACTTTTATTATCATAAGTTTAATAATGTTCTCAATAAATTTCACATTATAGACCTACTGGTCTAGTATTAAATAATTCAGATTGAGAAATGTATTTCAATTATTTATTAATAAAATATACAGATTTTTCGTGTGCATTTTACATTTGACCCACTGTCCTCTTGCTGCATGTCCTTTTTCATATTTCAGATGTTGAAAAACTTTGTCTTGTAATAGAAAATAATAAATAGCAAAAAAAAGATTTAAGTGCTGTATTAAATATAAATAATTTGGTAAATAAACTACATTGTACTCGGAAAAAAAGAAGATGGAAATACTTATTCATATCTGAAAATGTTTAAACAACTTCAAACTTGTGTTTTAGTAATTTTAAAATTTGCAAAATCATTCTCATGTTTTCATTCAAAATTGTAAGGTTGCTTTTATATTAGTGAGAGGTAATAAGTGTCTGTAAGAGAGGGAGTGTGTCACTGTGTTTGCTTATCTTAACTGGCTAATTAATTGACTGAGACATCCCTGATTTGCAGATAATGAGGTGTAAACTGTGAACTACCTATAGTGTTTAACTTTTATTCCATTGAAGACAAACAAGATTATTAAGACAATTAATAGCTCTCAAAACACTTATTTCAATACAGAATGAAAATGTGCTATTTGTTTCATTACTTAAAGACACATTTAATTTACATGTTTATTACTAAAAGTTCTAATTTACTTCTTTTTTTTTTGAAAAAGACAAGCACAGGAATGTTTAATGTGTACTGTCAACATACGGGCAGCCCAAATACTTCTAATGAAGTAATTCACAATAAAATATTAAATAATTTTTGCAACAAGTCAATAAATATGGAGGTTCAGAGCTAAGGTTGAAAGGAATAATTGATTCCTTGGCATATTTTATTGTAGGAATCATGTCTCCACTTTCCATGGTAGAGAATCCCTCATTTGGGCATTTAGTGAGAATATTAGCCAGAATAAAACCTTAAAAGAATCTGCACTGAAACTTCAGGAACACATTCAAACTTCAGTGGATAACATCAACATTTACCATTTAAATATTGCTTTGATATTTGAAGGGATAAAAACTTCGAAGTAATCGATTATTAATCGATTACATCTTCCAAAGTAATCGATTACAGGACAAAAATGAGTGTAATCGATTAATAATCGATTACAAAATTCCTCTAAGTAATCGATTATTAATCGATTACATTTTCAGTAATCGTGCCTATCCCTGCTTGGAGTTTGACCTACTTTTGAAAAACTTTAAACTTGGCCATAACATTTGAACGTTTGGTTCTAGGGCTTTCACATTTCATGAACATGTGTATCACTTGTGACAAGACCTTTCCTTGGGCACCATTTGACCTTTACTTTGACGTTTTACTTACTTTTAAAAAAACTTTAACCTTCGCGATAACTTTTCAACAGTTAGGGCTAGGGCTATCATATTTCACAAGTATATTCCTTGAGACAAGACCTTTCTGTGGGTACCAACATTTTTGATCTCTTGACCTGGAGTTTGACTTGCATTTGAGAAACTTTAACCTTCGCCATAAGCTGCCATACGGGGGCATCAGTGTTTCACAAACGCATCTTGTTTATAATCCATTTTATTAACGATGTCACCGGATCCAGGAATCTTGAAAAGGAGGGGGCAGTTTGGGGTCGGGGAAGGGGCCCATGGCCACACCAAAAAAATTATTCATTAAATCTTATGTATATTTTGGACATGGTGCACAAAAGGGGGGCCCGGGCCCCCTGGACACCCTGTAAATCCGCCAGTGCTTTGCACCCTTTTATCGAGTTTGAGAGATGAGAAGTTGAAATTTGTTACGTTAAAGAATAACCTTGAACCTTCAGCTATTGGAGTCTGTCACTTACTACTTTTATACAATTTAATGATGGAGATATGATATAATCCGGTACAAGGACATGGATTACTATCGGCAGCATGCAATCTGCTCTGGTACAAAATTCTTTTCATTTCATTTTTTTAAAATTAATTTTTAAAAGGAATCCTAATATCGGGTTCCTTTTATATAGCTATGCACGTTGTGCTTGCTGATGTACTTTCGTGTTTGTCGTCTGCATGTTGGATTGTTACACACACCGGTATTTATAAATGTACATCACATTTTCTGACTTTATGATGGCAAAAAAGACAAATACTACTATCTGTTGAATATGCATAAATTGATATTTGGGCCATATAATCAAAATAGATTTGACCCTAGTATATTATTATTAGCATAAAGTCATGACATCAAGTCAAATCCATTGGTCTGTGCCCTGTATCGTATTTTTTTTTTTTTTTTTTTTTTTTACACTTTTCGCTCCAATTTTTCTCGTTCTTCGAGTGCTAAATGTTTTTGACATACTAATAGTACCTTTAAAATGTTAGTTAAAGTGTAAAACATGCATGAATCAACGATCCATAAGAAACACATGCATCTCAACGATCACTTGTTCATACATGTATGAATAAACAAATGGACGGTACCTAACTATACATGTGTAGGTAAATCTACTAATCCTGAAACTGCTTGTGTTATAAAGAACAAAGTGAAATCTTCAAACGTTTTTTTAACCCCCCCCCCCCCCCAACAGCTTGCTAGATCAGTATTTTCGTTTCTTTTTAGGGGAGCATTGAGACAATATTAGACTTCTAGAGCAATGACAAGAGAGCATACAAAAATGTTCATGTAAAATATACCGGCCATCCTTTGTCACGAGTTTCGAACAATGACCTGTTAATATATTTTTGCGGAGAAGATGTAAAATATATACATAGCTGCTTTTCCTCATATAGTTTACAGTTATACGAAGTTTTATTCTGTTCAAATGAAAGCATGGATGTGTTTTTTTAGTTTCTTATGTTAAATTCGTATTGTGACTTTATCCCAACATAAACCGGGAGCCCTGGTTTGAACAAACTTGAATTTTACTTTCCTGAAAGAAGCTTATATTAAATGAAATAGGTGAAGCCAACGAACAATGATCGATCTCAAAAAGCTATGCATACAATACTAATCTGTGAAAAGGGTATAAAACAAGGACCCCTGGAAATTGCAGAGGTGGAATCCGGAGCCTAGGGGGAGTAAGCATCCCCTGTCGACCGGTCACAACCTCCGTGAGCCCTATGTATTGATGAGGTAGACGGTATATTCGTAGTCAAATTTAATATTAAAAAAACAAAGGCATAACACGTCAGTCAATATACGACCAATGATAGATTGCATTTGCTAACAAGGTCATTATAACGACCATAGAATTTAAAAGTGGTTGTTGAGATCTCTATAACATCAACTTATCTGTCAGTAGGCTGCCTCCGTTTGAAAATTGATCGTACTCAGAGCATGCTCTTGAATATCGAATAAGTAAACTGGGGTACAAAACACCATATGCAGTTGAAAATGGGATATCACCGAAAAGCTTGTCATCTCGTTTGTCATATAGTTTAGTTGTTAGTTGGCCCTTATTGTCTATAGTCAGTAAGACATCCTTTTAATATTAATCTCAGTACTTATGTGTAGAATCAGAGTGATTTTTTTTTGTACAGAATATTTTTTTTTAGATGACCATCACAAAATATGAAGATTTCTGAGTTCCATTCTTATTGAGGAAGTACTAGTAGATGTCGAAAAACGTAGTTTTTAATTTATCGTGAGAAATGGTTGTATAAAGTGTAGAAAAGTCGAACGTTTTTAATGTTACTGACTTTTGAAATGATTTTAAAATTTTGTAATAGTTTTTTGGAGTTTTGGAGAATTTTGATTTACTTACACCAGTTCTGGAGTATTCTGTTGTACAGTAGTACGTCTGTTTGCGAGGAGTAAAGATAGAGGCTTGAGATGACGACATTATATCCCAATCGCTTCTTCTCGGGCCTTTCACTGGCAAGTTCGTAATTTGTGGGAAAGTTGCGATTGCAGTATATTTCGTATTTAGACCTCCAATTGACCTTCAGGATTTGAAATGATTTTTTTTTTCTACATGGAAATACTTATAAATCAGTTTGAAGTCATGATTTATAGGCGGTTGCTTCCACATAAATTCTTTTTTTTTCTGACTTTTAGTGATACTGGAGAGTAGAGAAGTTTGAAAAAAAAGTATCGCCCTTTTTTAATTATTTCTCCATCCTTTTAATAAATGAATATTTAAAGGGTGGGAAAATTATGAATATTAGTATCCTTTACGTGTACCAAAATAAAGCTTAAGCTTTATGACAGTTAAGTTTGAAATTGATTTCGTGGTTCTTTAGAAGTCAAAAGTTTGTAATATAACGCTGGATGACGATAGACAAAAACAATTAGCAATACCTGACACAAAAAGGTAATCTAAAGAGATTAAAGCTATTCTTTATTGCTATTTCGTCACATAGAAATCGAAAAATCATTAAAAATGAATATATCTTTTTGTGTGGTCTCCATAATGACCCATTAGAAACATAAAATCTCAAGAAAAACATTTTAGTAACTTGTACAAATTGCTCACTTTGACTGTTGTAGATGTCGGCTATATCTGTCATCAAAATAAAGAAAAAAAATAAAACAAAAACAACTACGGTAGAACTGTCCTAAGGGGTCTAATACCCCCTGAAGGGCATACTTAAAGCATGCATATTTAAATATGTGCATACAAGTACTCTATAATATCACCAAAAAATGCGCTGTCGTTTTTGCAGTCTCAAACTTCTCTAAATGTATTTTCGTACCTAAATGATAATACATATGAATCGAAGTAAGTCTTGTTCAATGATAATGCGTCGTCGATATATAAGCATGTATCTAAATGTCGAGCTGAAGGCCACAGCAAGTGTTTTCTTCCTCTCATGTAAAAGTTTCTGGATAAATTCTGCTTCATATGAATATAAAAATAGATCTGCTAATAACGGAGCGCAATTGGTACCCTTGGGAATCCCGACAGATTGTTGGAAGACCTGATATCCAAAAAAAACTACATAGATACTATCAAACAGAAACTCATGCATCTTTTTTATCAACTTCAGAATACTTGTGTGTACAATCAGAATGTTCTTATAACAAAATAATAAGTAAATGACAAGGTTTCTTTTATTGAAAGATCAGCTGTCTATGCTGTCAAAAGTCCTGGACTTTAATTTATCGTAGGTAATGGTTGAATGAAGTGTTAAGAGTTACTTTAATCCTTATTAATTTTACATCATATATTTGCTATACACGTACAGTCATTTCCAAAACAATGCCAAAATGTTTCGTGTCCACAACAGGAAATTCCATCCAGTTACTGCAGGTAATTGGCAGAACAAATAAAAGTCAAAGTATCGCCTTTGCTGAGTATGAGTCAATAGATAGAAGGCTTATATTGTGAAGAATCGAAAAAGAAGGAATCTTTTGCTCACGTCAAGAGGATGTGGTCTGAAGTTTCTGTTCCTGGTGTGCAACAGGGTTCTGTTTTCTGTCCAGTTCTATTAATGGTTTAACGACACAAAAATATTATCCAGATGTTTATTACAGTTCAACGTTATTGCTACAAAAAAATAAAAAAAACAGAAGGTTAACAAAGATAATCTGAGCCCGGTTGTGTCGTTATATCTACGATGTTTGCTTTATGGCTTTTGTGGTTTGCTAGTTGTGGTAAATTAGAGTCATTTAGTGTTAGGTAAATGTGATTACTAAGCGACAGTGTAGAGTGACTTTTTAAAAATATATCAAGTATAGCCAAGTCTGAGTCATGGAAATATATTTTTCGGACATTGGTTTCCTGTGTTGAATAATGACAAATAAAAAATCGATTAAACGTACTGACTATCGACGACTTACATTTATCGTAAAGCAAGTGACTTAAAGAGTAAATACATGTGCATGAAAATTTTAAAATATATATAGAGATGGACATTTGGTTTTTGAAGCATTGTCTTCCTCTAAGATGTCCTCGTTTATCTATGAATTCAAAATAAAGTGGGAGTCAATAAATTGATACATTAATAACTTCATCAACATCATAGATCAAATAACGAAATTATATACATGTATTCAACATCATAGATCAAATAACGGAATTACATATCTTTATGTAGTCTAAGATAGGCATTTCTGGAGGTGATCTGTCGGGAGACTTGCTTTTTGAAAAAGTATTCGGTGGGTTGTTAAAGACCTACGTGCAAGTTGTTCATTGAAATTGAATTTCAATGTATAAGGCTAAGTACATGTAGTTTTATGTAGTTTACATTTCCATCAATATTTACTGAAACCGAGCAGAACTACAGGAGGATTACCATTTCGAAAAATTGCTCACTATGAAAAAACCGAAATTGCAGGAACAGAACCAATGCATAAACTCTTTCTGTATTAACCTGTAGAATTTGAAAATGAAGAATACAGCGAATAAGCTATATTTCCTGTTATGACGTCATCATGAAGAATTAACGATATATTTTCCATCTCTTCAAAAAAACACATCCTAAGCTTACGAAAATATTTAAATACACTTAAATACGTCAATAGATAGCTGATGTTTTGTAGCATTATAAAACTGAGGAGTCGACAGCCTAAGATGCCAGGATTCCATATCGAACATTGCTCCTTCAATTTTTAAAGCAAAACTATGTAAAAGTAGTTGAACAATAATCATTGAATGAATATCCCTTTGGAAAAAATGGCCGTGCAAACCAGTGAAATGCTATCTTCTTTTATTATTTTATTTTTGTTATCGATCATGTTTCCTAATTGCCATAAATCTTGCTCGATCAATAAAAACACGTTCGTCGAAGCGGGTCACAATGTCACTCGAGCGAATCCTCGTCGAATGGTCGTTCAAGCGATGCCGGGTTTTTATATCAGTTGATAAGTGACATTCTTGCTCCACAGTCCGGATTAATATGTTATTGAAAATTTCATTACTTTTACTCTTAGCAGTGGGTAAGTAGTTTTCAAATATTTATTAACCAATAATAAAAAAAATGTAGCATAATTTTGCTTCTGGTTTTAAAATATAAATGTATATATATTTTTTTTTAAGAAATGCACATCAATTGAATTGATACAAAACAATATACGTTGAAAATATTTATCAGATACATTTATTAGATATACTGTCTTTGATGCTATAATTTTTTTTTTTGATAGATTGAAAATTTTGTAATATAATTAAATTTTCTCTCAAACTGTTGCTCCTTTTTATTAGACTTCTATAAAAACCTACAATCTTTCATCTATCATACTTACTAGTTACTAGTTCATGCTCTCTTAATCATATTTAATTTTGATTGGCAGTTGTGGAATCAACAAGATGTGAGTATTTTTTAAATTCTTTATTCTCTCTCTCTCTCTCTGTGCAAATCATTAAGTGACACCAGCTATCCATGTCACTTTCACCGTCGTTTATTGCCTATAAACACGCAGAGAAGCAGTTCCATATGATGACTAGTTTATTTCTTCTCATTTTGCATGCAGTGCAGTGCAATATTACTTGACCACAAATGTTCTTATACTATAAGTATATAAAAAGGTCGGTTAACCAGTCTAAGATTAATTAGCGCATTATATGTAGATATTAATTTTACTGATATGTATTTTACAGTTTTCAAAATTTCGTAGATCTTCAGAGTATGGACTATATAGCTACACCAAAAATAAGCGCTGTTTCTTAGTCCATAATTCATATCTTGCCAGCAATTACACAAAGCTCGCTTGAAAATGTGTTGATCCCTAGTATATATTTATTGTTTTAATATATACGAGAGGTCGATTTTTTTTTAAAGAGAGCTACGTGTCTATGCGGGTGCGAAAGGCGCTGAAATGCGAATTTTACACAGTTTATAATTTTTTTTTCTTCAAAGACAAAAGCAAGAAGTATAACTATAAAAATCGATCGTACATCAATTTATGTGTTGCATTCCATCTGGAAAACATTGTTTTTTACATGTAACAGAATGAAATAGCTCATTCGAGAGTTTTCTGTCACTCTTTGTAATTTATAACTTTTTTACCTGTAGGGAGGGGTCCAAGGCACAGAGGCAAATTCAGATGGGGGTTTCATGGTCCAAAAATAAGATTTATTGATAGACCAAGTGAGTATATTTGTCTTGAATCACATTATTTCGTCGCAAATATGACGTTAAAACACACACCAATTTTTGTTGTTGTTTAATCCTCTTTTATTTTATCAATTTCAGTTCACATTCCAGTTCGTAAGTATTTTTTACCAATTCTTTTTACTGCTATATTGACCTTTATTATTCCTAGCTCTTATTAGCTGAGATTCAACATTGTAAAAATCATATCTAAATCACAGTAAGTTATGTTCACCTGAACTTTACATTGGACTGAAAATTGATGGAGACCAGAAATAAATCAAAATTGATACAAATGTTTATAAAAAGTTTTTTAACCTTAACTTGACTTCTTGAGAATAGAATATTGAGAATAGAATATTTATTTTTCTACAGTGCTACAATCACGAGATTCCAATTTAATACAAATGGTTATTTAGCGACCCTCAAAGTACATTATCCACCTCGCCCTTCGGGCTCGGGAATGTAGGTATCCTCGGGTGGCTAATTCAACACGTTGCCGTTTGACCCCCTAGGCTGTCGACGGCAAACGACAACGTGTTGACTCAGGACCCCTGACGTCCTGAGGGCAAACGACAACGTGTTGAGTCAGGACCCCTGACGTTCTGAGGATGATAATTGACGGGCATGTAGCTAAAATATGATTTGTTCAGGAATATGTAGCTATTACTTGGTCAGGAATACGATATAATTATTCCTTTTGCTGTAATACGCTGTAAAGAAAAAAAATCCAAGAAAAGTGTATTTACACTCTTCATGATTAGTATAGATATGATGCCCTTACGTCACCATCTGATGCCGCAATGCTCGCGTTCGATGACAGAATTATGGGCAGCCTCTATCACGATGGGTCGTAAAACCCGACATAAATTCAATCACTCAAGCACATCTGAAAGTATGGCATGGCCACGTGCATATACAGGCAGAAATAATGCGTGTAGTTTTGTATTTATATAAATGAATTATTTAAGATGATGTATTTGTAACATTCAATTAAAAAACAGGAAAAAATATGAACTTCTTTTTATAGTCTTTTCTTTTTATGATTTACTCCATATAGATCTTTTTTTTTATGTAACAAATTTTACCCTTTGAAAATCTTTACTTCTAAGGAATAAAAATAAGTAGTACCGATACTATGAATTATTTAGTGATATTACATAATTTTAAAAAAAAACCCACCAGTTTCCACTCGTCCATAGCGTCATCTACTCAGGTGAACTAATGCAACAATTACTGTACATAAGAGAGTTAGAGAACAAAAATGCACTGTGTGTTTGTATCACCTTATTTAGTCTTTATTTTATCTCTGAGTATACGTTTTTTTCATATTTTATATTTATATTTCAGCTTATGCAGTTCATAAAACAAGTGAGTATACAACAGTTATTCAATACTGAATTAAAAACTAGAATAGTGAAAATCGCACTGCTTGGATTTAAAATTTCCTTCCGAATGCCTTGATAATAACTTTTTTTCTTTGTTTAAAGGGTTCATAGATAGACACAGTGAGTATTTATTTTATTACTTTTGAAATATGTTTAACATTTTGTTCTCGCAATTCGAATGCAAACTGTAAACTAATGACAAGAAAAACAAAACCAAACCAAACCAAACCAAGAAAAAAAAACAAACAAACAACAACAACAACAACAACAAAATACGTCAATGGTATCCAGTTGGAATCTTTCTCAAAACTCTTGCCTACATAAACTCTAATTACTCTAATGTCACTGAATGCAGGTTGTAAATACAAACCTCGTTATCTCGAACAAGATGGGACTGACAAAAAAAAATACTTAAAGAATAATTGGTTGGGACTTCAAAATTACTTCGACATATCCAGATATTCGAGATATCGGTGTTCGAGATACCGACTTTATCTGTATATATATTTGTCTTTTCTATTTATCAGTTCCTATTTACAAAAAGATTCATATACCCATCATTAAAAAAATCCCGGTCATCCGGACTGTGATAGTCAGAGAAAAAGTTCCTAAACCAGGTAAGTTAGTTCTTTTGTCCCTATTAGATTAAAAAACAAATAAATGGCAAATGACCGTTCTTCAAATATTCTTTTATTTTGATTTTTCCTGTTTGGTAGGAATTCGGAGATTTAAAAGATAGAATGATTTGTCAACTGAACGTAATTTAGTAAATTAAATAAATTTACCAAAGTTTCAAAATTACAAAATGGTCGACAAGTAGTTTTAGCCAGACGTACTCCAGTCAACTACCCACTATGGAAACATTGAAATTAACTAATTTGCATACGTGTTATGTTAGTATATTTATCACCTGCCCCCCCCCCCCCCCCCTCAGGCATAAGTACATCCATGAAATTTTAAGGGGGATCTGGGGGAAATAGCACTCTATAGCTATTACACAGAGTAGGATTTCCCGGGAAAATTAAATCTGAATTGAATCTCATTTTCGAATTTTTTTTTCCGCAGGAGAAATCCTACTCTATACTAAGAGTCATTTTCCATTTGGGAAATCCTACTCCAGAGCCTGTTTTCCAGGGGTGGGTGGGATTTTAGAAGTGAAAGTCTACTCTACGGTATTACAGTAGTATAATATTTTGATGCTTACAGGGCCACTAACAACAATGCATTGTATGTAAAAAAGAAGAAATTAAATATATTTAATCACAAGTGATTAACATATATTTAATTAATTTAAATGATATTTTCTATTTTACAGTCCCAATCCATAAGGAAATCATCAGAACGATCACTAAGAAAGGTAAGAAAAATGTCTTCTTTTACATAAAATTTAAACATGTCAACAATATACATGTAGATGTATATATATCAATGTATCTCAAATTCAAGCTCTTTTACTCGTTTTTTACTCGGTAATATTAATATATGTTTTTTTTTTATTTTACAGTGAAGGTTCCAGTTATTAAACGAGGTATGTAACGTATCTCCCCCCCCCCCACACACACACACCAAAAAAAAAAGTTATATAAAATGGAGAGGGCAAATCCAAATACAATGTCCCCACAACCCTTTAAAAAATCGGCAAGAAACTAAATTAATTGTAAAGAAATAAAACCCTTTTTTGACAGAAATGTTTAACTATATAGCGAAAAAAAACCCATTAATGTTAGTAAACAAGTACCTATGTTTCAGTTCCCGTTCCTAAGCCGGTACCGGTGATATACGAGGTTCCAGTGGATCGACCATTTCCTGTAGAAAAGCCTGTGGTTGTGGAAAAACCGGTCCCAGTTACAAAGGAAGGTATATAGTTAAACCGAATCGAATGTAACAGCTATATGGAATCTATTTTTTTTTAATTTAATTTACACAATTTTATTGAATTTACACAATTCTATAGGGTGAAACATCAACACGTGATAAATTATAAAAAAAATGTACTGTTGCTTGCTAAAATGAAACATGGAGATAACGAACAGTTTTCGAGCTCAAAAGTCCATTAAACATTACAAAATAAGTGCAGAGCAAACACGGACCTCTAAGACATCAGAGGTGGGATCAGGTGCCATGGAGGAGTGAGCACCCCTTGCCGACCGGTCACAACCGCCGTGTGCTCTTTGTCATGATCGGGATATAACGGAAAAATCCGTCGACAATAATGGCCTAACAAATAGTATGAAAAAGGTCAGTCAGCATATGACTCAATGATATATTGTATTGTATCGACCATAGAACTTACGAATAAATTTTACATTTAAAAAATCCTGATAGACTGCAGTCTGTCCGAGTTGTTCTTTCATCAATTATCGCACTGATCATAAGCAAGTTTAATACGACATTGAGCCAAACTTCCAAAATAATTCAGATATTTGTATAAAAGTTATTTTGAAATTAAAAATCTCAGACAATTTTGTTTTGTCAAATTCGCAGTAAAAATTATTAAAATTATAACTTATCGCGATTATCTTAAGTTAATTAAAAAATAATAGCAAGGCAAATGTACAATGTAGCATGGTAAGATATTAGTCAATCCGTTATTTTATCTCACCATCCAAAACCTCAGACTTCGTCTTCGGTCGATTTTGTGATTGGTTGATACATATAATCACGAATATCGACCTCATCATTTAACTGAATATCTTATTTGAACGGCGGCACCTATCGTATACTAGTATATCAATGATGCGATAGTATTGCTTGTATTGAATTGTTGTTATGATATATGCAATAGTACAGCTTTATATATAAATTTTCGTTGTTGTTTTTATTCTAGTCCCAGTTCCTGCTCCTTTCCCAGTGTTTCCAAAAGAAAATGGTTTGTACTGTATACTAGTATATAATAAAAGAAATGTTATAGTCACGAATTCAATTAAAAGAAACGATTATATATACAGTTGTATTTATGTTGTTTTGAATTTATCCTTGTAGTAGGAAAACCAGCAGACGGCGGTACTATTTTTGTAGGTGAGTACATTTTCATTTTTTTAAGGGATGAGATAATGGCAATTCATAGAATTGTTGTATTGTTTATCTTTACACAGTAGATTAATACAGAGTACTATAGGTGTTTTGGGACGAGATTTGAAAAATAACGAAAAATTAGTCGAACGGGGGGGGGGGGGGGGCGTCTCCAAGCACCTGGGTGATTTAAAGCAAAAACTGCTGGATTGAGAGGGACCAGTTAACGGAGCTATACTTTTAAAATTCATTTCAATTCATATAGGTTGACACTTTCTGAGTAAGCCACCTGCATCTTTTGAATGTTTACATTCAACAGGATTTAGTTGGAGCATAAGTTTTCAGGGTTTTTTTTTGTTTGTTTGTTTTTGTTTTCTTTATGAATGATGTAATCCCATCCAGCAAAACCTATTCTAAAACTATTGAAAATGCGTAAAAAATCCTTAACAAAATATGTATTTACAGATGCCGGTGGAAAAGGAGGCAAAATTGGCGGTGGAATCGACAAGGGAATAGGGGATAGATTTGCAGGGAAAGGGGTCGATGTTAATGTAAAAAATGTTGATGTGAACATTAACAACGTACGACCTAATTTCGTTGGCGGAGGGGGAATTGATCAAGGCCTTGTTCCAATCGGTGGAGGAGGAGGAGTTGATCAAAGTCTCGTGCCAATTGGTGGTGGGGGAATTGATCAAGGCCTTGTCCCCATAGGTGGAGGTGGGATTGACCAAGGCCTTGTCCCTATAGGTGGAGGGGGAATAGATCCTGGTTTCAATCGCCCAATTGGTGGAGGGGGTATAGATCAAGGCCTCGTCCCAATAGGTGGAGGGGGTGTAGATCCTGGTTTCAATCGTCCAATTGGTGGAGGGGGTATAGATCAAGGCCTCGTCCCAATAGGTGGAGGGGGTGTAGATCCTGGTTTCAATCGTCCAATTGGTGGAGGGGGTATAGATCAAGGCCTCGTCCCAATAGGTGGAGGGGGTGTAGATCCTGGTTTCAATCGTCCAATTGGTGGAGGGGGTATTGATCAAGGCCTAGTGCCTATAGGTGGAGGGGGAATAGATCCTGGTTTCAATCGCCCAATTGGTGGAGGGGGTATTGACCAAGGCCTATTACCTATAGGAGGAGGGGGGATAGATCCCGGTTTCAATCGTCCAATTGGTGGAGGGGGTATTGATCAAGGCCTCGTCCCAATAGGTGGAGGGGGGATAGATCCTGGTTTCAATCGTCCAATCGGTGGAGGGGGTATTGATCAAGGCCTTGTCCCAATAGGTGGAGGTGGAGGGGGTATTGATCAAGGCTTTGTCCCAATAGGTGGAGGGGGTATTGACCAAGGCCTAGTGCCAATAGGTGGAGGGGGAATAGATCCTGGTTTCAATCGCCCAATTGGTGGAGGGGGTATCGATCAAGGCCTCGTTTCAGTAGGTGGTGGGGGGATAGATTCTGGTTTCAATCGTCCTAGTATAAACCCACCGATCATTGCTGTTGATCCTCAGCCAGTTGACAATGGATTCAACCTTCCAAGTGGAGGAGTTGATGCAAGTCTTAATCGTCCAATATCAGTCGATCCACTAATCGATACTGGACTTATTGGAGATACGTCCATTAATGCCGTTAATCCAGGTCTTAGAGGGTCCATTAATGGTGGTTTCATAGGAAGCGGAATTGGTTTAGGTGTCGAACCAAACTTCGATCGTTCTTTCGATAACGGTTTCAACAGTCTTGACAATTCATTTGGAGGATTTGATAACAACGATTTCTCTGTCTATGAGGCCAGGCTAAACGCCATAGCCCAAGGGCAAGGTGGAATTCTTCCAGGTGGAGCAATTGGGCAGGGGATTTCGGGTAAATCATTTTATTTTCAAAATATTTTGAAATTAGTCTTTAAATCTTTAAAGCATATTGATGTATCCGGATACATGTATTTGAATTATGGAGTCATATTTAAAATTTATTGATGTTTCAGCTAGCGACGTAGGGTTACCAGCCAGCGCGCGTGAGTTTAAATATTCGTAGAACTTTTTAAATCTTAAAGTTTTATCACTCAAATCAGTAATATAACAGAGCTTTGCCAACTATCGAAATCTTTAACTAATAGTTTGAGCTGTCCGTCCGGCTAATCTGCAAAGGCCTAGAATTTTAAATCCTTTCATAAAAATTAAGAAGAAAAAATAACATAAAATAAAATTGAATAAAATAAAATAAAATTGAAGATGTAAATACTTTTAGATAGAAACTCAATTTTAAATCCTTTCATCAAAATAAAAAAAAAAAAATGAAATCTCGATGTCGCCTTGACAAATGAAGGAGCGCTTTACTCTGGCATCTTGTATTCACAGAGAGCTTCGGACTAGGGCTGGATGGATCGGGTTTTGAAAGCGGAAGAGACAGTTTGCGTAAGTTCTTATTTCTCACTATCTTCCAAATTCCTATAGTAACAGACCCGTAGAACGGGGGGGGGGGGGGCAGGAGGGGGCGCCCCCACTTTTTCTCAGTATAGTATTTTGCTTTATTATACTTTCATGTTAAATACTAAAATCTGATTGGTTTAGACACATTTAACAATCCGTAATGTTACCCTCAGCGTTAGCAACACACTTAACAACGGGTAACATTACGAAAATATCACATGTTTTCAAATCATGCGCGTACGGTTCACCGTAGAATTCTCAAAACGTCGGTTGTGCGTTTGAAAGAAGCCGAATAAACGACGTCAATAAAAGCTTGCGTCCGATGTAGCTTACTTGAAAAAGACAAACGACAGACGAAACATCCATGCGAGTGCAAACTTTAGGTGATAAAGGACTTTTGAGTAGCAAACAAATAATAAAGAGGTTGGTAAATCTTTTACGAAGCTTTCCTATTGAGAAAAATAGAAGCGGGGAGTTTGAAAGCTTTCTAAGCTTGAAGTTAACGACGATCTCCGAATTTTTTAATGACATCCGAAATCAATAAGACATTCAGTATAATAAAATAAACAGTGCACGTTTTTGAGGGTAACAGTTGAAATTGACACCCCTCGGAAAACCATTGTCAACCTCCGCTGACGCGTCGGTTGACAATGGTTTTCCTTGGGGTGTCAATTTCAACTGTTACCCTCAAAAACGTACACTATTTATATATAATAGTAAATTTTCCTTTATAAGCTGCCCCCCCCCCCCTTTCCCCTTTGTTGCAGTAAGGCTGAGCACTGGTTTCCACGATTTGGACTGTTAATTACGTTTTTTTTTTATAACTTGTCAGCTACCCTTTTCAAATCGATGCTACGGGCGCGAGTAGTTAAGTGCTGTACTGGTTTTATTTTGCATAAACAATATGTTAGGTATTAACGCATGTGAATGTATCATATATTTAATGTTTTATTGTAGTCGATTCAAACCTGGATCTTTCATGTAAGTAAAGATTTTTCAGTATTTCCGTGTTTTAATGCTTCATGAAATATTACATCTTTCAACAAACTCTATTCAGTTCAAAGTTCTATTAATGATTGAATTTAATTACATGTACCTTTAACAATGAAATATCTTTAATATTATCGTTATATACCATTCAAAATGATTACAAATGTTCATATACCGGTATATGTAGCTCATTGAGATTTCAACCTTTTATTTACACTTTCCCATCCTGCTTCTATACGTATATGTCCCTTCTTACATAATAAGTATATTTTGAATTCGCTTGTAAGGGGTAAAATTGGTGGGGAAATAAATCAAATTTACCCCTTATACAATTTTCTTGTAGCGAACCTCGGAGGGGCAGCTCTCAGTCCAGCAGGTAATTTTAGTTCGTTAAGTAAAATCATTTTACATCAATTTATAAATTTTTGGGCAAATTTAGCATTTTTGAAAATTTTAAAATACACTCTACTTCATATTTATTTCATTGTTCTAGCAATAGCACCAGCTGCCTTTACTACCGGTGGGTCATTTAGTGATAATGGAGGGACATTGAGAACAATATGAGATCAATATATGTAAGTATGTTGAAATGCTAAAATAATTATTATACCCCCGCTCCGAAGGAGAGGGGGGTATACTGTTTTACCCTTGTGTGTCTGTGTGTCTGTCTGTCCGTCTGTCTGTCTGTCTGTCCGTAACAAACTTTGGTCGCAGTTTTCTTAGCAACTACTCATCAGAGGTGCTTGAAATTTTAACACACTCTTTGTTTAGGCATGCCATATGGTGGGATTCATTTTTGTACGAATTCGATGTCAACTTCCTGTTTATCCGTGCGTTTGTCCGTACCATACATAAAAAATTTGGTCGTAGTTTTCTCAGCAACTACTCATCGCAGATGCTTGAAATTTTAGCACAATCTTTGTTTAGGCATGCCATATGGTGGGATTCATTTTTGTACGAATCTGATGTCAACTTCCTGTTTATCCGTGCGTCTGTCCGTATCACACATAACAAACTTTGGTCGCAGTTTTCTCAGCAACTACTCATCGCAGGTGCTTGAAATTTTAACACACTCTTTGTTTAGGCATGCCATATGGTGGGATTCATTTTTGTACTAATCCGATGTCAACTTCCTGTTTATCCGTGCGTCTGTCCGTATCACACATAACAAACTTTGGTCGCAGTTTTCTCAGCAACTACTCATCAGAGGTGCTTGAAATTTTAACACACTCTTTGTTTAGGCATGCCATATGGTGGGATTCATTTTTGTACGAATTCGATGTCAACTTCCTGTTTATCCGTGCGTTTGTCCGTACCATACATAAAAAATTTGGTCGTAGTTTTCTCAGCAACTACTCATCGCAGATGCTTGAAATTTTAGCACAATCTTTGTTTAGGCATGCCATATGGTGGGATTCATTTTTGTACGAATCTGATGTCAACTTCCTGTTTATCCGTGCGTCTGTCCGTATCACACATAACAAACTTTGGTCGCAGTTTTCTCAGCAACTACTCATCGCAGGTGCTTGAAATTTTAACACACTCTTTGTTTAGGCATGCCATATGGTGGGATTCATTTTTGTACTAATCCGATGTCAACTTCCTGTTTATCCGTGCGTCTGTCCGTATCACACATAACAAACTTTGGTCGCAGTTTTCTCAGCAACTACTCATCGCAGGTGCTTGAAATTTTAACACACTCTTTGTTTAGGCATGCCATATGGTGGGATTCATTTTTGTACTAATCCGATGTCAACTTCCTGTTTATCCGTGCGTCTGTCCGTACCACACATAACAAACTTTGGTCGCAGTTTTCTCAGCAACTACTCATCATAGGTGCTTGAAATTTTAACACACTCTTTGTTTAGGCATGCCATATGGTGGGATTCATTTTTGTACGAATTCGATGTCAACTTCCTGTTTATCCGTGCGTTTGTCCGTACCATACATAAAAAAATTTGGTCGTAGTTTTCTCAGCAACTACTCATCGCAGATGCTTGAAATTTTAGCACAATCTTTGTTTAGGCATGCCATATGGTGGGATCCATTTTTGTACGAATCTGATGTCAACTTCCTGTTTATCTGTGCGTCTGTCCGTATCACACATAACAAACTTTGGTCGCAGTTTTCTCAGCAACTACTCATCGCAGGTGCTTGAAATTTTAACACACTCTTTGTTTAGGCATGCCATATGTTGGGATTCATTTTTGTACTAATCCGATGCCATATGGTGGGATTCATTTTTGTACGAATTCGATGTCAACTTCCTGTTTATCCGTGCGTTTGTCCGTACCATACATAAAAAAATTTGGTCGTAGTTTTCTCAGCAACTACTCATCGCAGATGCTTGAAATTTTAGCATAATCTTTGTTTAGGCATGCCATATGGTGGGATTCATTTTTGTACGAATCTGATGTCAACTTCCTGTTTATCCGTGCGTCTGTCCATATCACACATAACAAACTTTGGTCGCAGTTTTCTCAGCAACTACTCATCGCAGGTGCTTGAAATTTTAACACACTCTTTGTTTAGGCATGCCATATGGTGGGATTCATTTTTGTACTAATCCGATGTCAACTTCCTGTTTATCCGTGCGTTTGTCCGTACCACACATAACAAACTTTGGTCGCAGTTTTCTCAGCAACTACTCATCATAGGTGCTTGAAATTTTAACACATTCTTTGTTTAGGCATGCCATATGGTGGGATTCATTTTTGTACGAATCCGATGTCAACTTCCTGTTTATCCGTGCGTCTGTCCGTACCATACATAACAAATTTTGGTCGTAGTTTTTTCAGCAACTACTCATTGCAGATGCTTGAAATTTTAGCACAATCTTTGTTTAGGCATGCCATATAATAGGATTCATTTTTGGAACAAATCCGATGTCAACTTCCTGTTTATCCATGCGTCTGTCCGTACCATACATAATAAATTTTGGTCGTAGTTTTCTCAGCAACTACTCATCGCAGATGCTTGAAATTTTTTCTTTGTTTAGGCATGCCATATGTTGGGATTCAGTTTTTACAAATCCGATGTCAATTTCCTGATTATCACTGTGTTTGTCCATAACCGAACTTGTGTATTCACATCAGAGCGGGAGTATTATTAGTGAGCATTCGCTCACAGACTTCTTGTTTTAACAATTTGAAAATGTTTTGACAACTATATTATTTTTTGTATACATGTGTGCAACGTTGGTACATGTATTAAATACATCTTTTCACATGTAAGATTCTTTTCATAAATAAATTCTATTTCATAAAAAAAGTTTATTTAATTGAAGTACCTTTATGTCTTACATTTATACATACTCTTCATAATTTTTTGGACGCAAGAGGCCAAATTCCAACAGTGATGGAATATGTTTATAAAGAATACCTCAATTATTTCTACTCTTCACTTTTTTCATAATTGTTGATTACAGTAATGTAGTAGTTTGTATCGAGAATTAAAACTACAATAAATGAAATTAATTCAAATATATTGTAGATTGTTGGTTAACAAAGGGATGGGTGTGGCTATGGAGATGAAGACCACGTGATCGGTTGGAATTCGCCGCCCGGCAGACATCAAAGCTTTATATACCTCATCTTTGTTGATTGCTATTAAATTTGTTATAAATAAAATAATTGTCTTTTTTTCCCACACACTCATTAAATAGTCAGCTGCAGATATATTTATTACCATTTGACACTTTCAGTGTGACCTGATACCACTAAATATGAATTAATTTCTGATGGTTTGTGTACAAGTTTCTCCATTTCAAATTAAACTTACAGTTTTAGAAATTAAGAAACATTTGAAGCTCATACTAGTGCTTGATGCAAAGGTATGGTATGACTTTGAAATACGGTCACCTGGACAAGGTCCTGATCATGTTTACAAAGTCGAAAATTCTACTCTGAGCCATAACTTGCAACAATAAAACATTGGAAGCTAACATGTAGTACAAAGGTTTCAGACAGAGGATGTCTAATGACCCTCAATAAAGGTCATTTGGTCAAGGTAAAGATTTTCAGTGTAATATTTCTGTTTAGGACATATATACCGGTAATTAGGTAATGCAGGAATAGAAGAAGCTCAAATATGACACAGTTCTGTTACTCTTGACCAGAACCTGAACTAAAGCCATTAGATCAAGGTCATTGAATTCATTTCAGCTCGAAGCAATGCTATGCAGAGAGATTGCAAAAGCTTTTGATAATAAGAGACTAATTCATGAACATCTACTAAATAAACTTGAAAATTAAAGTAAAAAATTATAATGAAAATTTTCTTGAAACATTACAAACAAGTAAATTTTAATTGTGCCTTACAGTTTAAAGTTTGGATTTTAAAACCAGTCTTGGTTGAGGGTGTATCTCTGCAAATCACTATTGGTATGTGAAAAACAGCATCCAAGTGGTAGATTGCATGTTCATCTTCTCTTAATGGCCAATGAAAGTATGTTTATAAAATGAACTTTTTGTATAACAGGAGCTCTGTTCTGCTTTACTGATGTACAGGACTTTCTTTTGAAACTGCAACATGATTATTTTTTTTTTTTATTAAAGATTCATTTCATAGCTCACACATCATGAAATATATATGGGAGACAACTAGAAGATCCAATACTATCACAACAATAGGCCCTTCATAATAGACAATTAAGTTAAACTGTACATCAATACAGAGTGCACGGAGAGAAAAGCCACTTCAAGAAATGTCAAATGGTAAAATAATGTCCAATGACACTGATAATATCAAATGTTCATCAGTCTGAGTATTTTTTGGTCCCTTTTTTACTGCCCTATTTGTCTTTCAAACCTATACTCTTCAGCAACTGAATAGCTTCTTCATGTGCCTACAAAAGTGATAATGAATAATGACATAAAATGACATCATGTAGACCAATAGGAATGTTGAAATGCATGTACAGTGAAACTTGTCTAATCTGGATGTTGTGTATAAATCTAAAATCTTGTCTAATATGGTGTAAACTTTAAGTCCCTTGCTGTATATTCAATTGTTTCAAGTGTTGTCTAATCCGGAATGTTGTCTAATCCGGCCAATTTCTTTGGGACCAGTGGTGTCCAGATTAGACAAGTTTTACTGTATAAGTAGTATGTTTTAAAATGAATATACATTACAGTTTAAACTTGCTTATAAGGAACTCTGATATAAGGAAATCTTGGTTATAAGGAAGTTATACCCTTTTGCTCATTGGCAATATGATAATACTTTCTTACATGGATACTAGGAATCTCAGTTATTCAAGTCCCAATGACTTCCTAATAATCAGGTCTTACTGTATATGATTCTAAGATCTGTATTTAATTACATGTATATCTTTATCTAAATGTATAGTCTGAAGGGGACCTTCCTCTTATAATGCATATGTCTTTAATAAGGTTTCAGAAATATGTAGCTTCTTTTCATTTCCAGATCATGACCTAACCTATATGTAAAGAATTTAGTTATGCAGAAAAAGCTGTACTCCAATCTCTTAACATGTAGGAACCCTTACATAAAACCAATCCTACAATAATAAAACTAGGATTACTTTGGTATAAAGCTTCTTTGTTAACAAAGCTAACAGGAAAACCTTTTTTTCTCCTTATAAGATATAAGATCAGAATAATATTTTTTTTTTATAAAACTGATGTATTGTTGTTTATATTTATATTGCAGATTTTAGGATGTGTATCTTTTTGCCTATCTTCCTCAAAATCTAATCAATCCTTCTTTAACCAGTGGTGACACTCTTTTTGCTCAAAATTTATTGAAATCTGCCCATAAATACTTGGGAATTCATAAGAAGAAACAAACACATTTAAAAACTTGACTTCTTACTAACTTGGATTATGACTAAGACAAAACATCACTACATGGGATAAAACAGCAATTTTTAGAGGGTCCCTAAATAAGAAAATCCAGGAATTTACATCCCTACAGATGACAGTACAGCACTGTGGTCCCAACATGGGATAACAGTGCAATTTACAGGTTCCCTACATGGGATAGTACAAATATGAGGTCCCTACATGGGATTAAAAGCAATTTACAGGGTCCCTACATATGATAGTACAACAATTTTTAAGATACTTACATGGCAGAACAGCCACTTACAGGGTCTCTACACATAATTGCAAAGCAATTTATAGGATCCCTAAATATGATAGTACAACAATTTACCAGGTTTCTACATGGGAAAGTACAAAAATTTACAGGTTCTCTACTTTGGATAGTACAGCAATTTACAGGGATATGTACATGGGAATATGGGATAGTACAGCAATTAACAGTGTCCCTAAATGGGATTATACAGCAATTTAAAATGTCCCTACCTGGAATAGTCCAGCAATTTAAAGTGTTCCTAAATAGGATAGTACAGCAATTTACAAGGTCCCTACATGAAAAAGCACAATTAACAGTGTCCCTAAATGGGATAATAAAGCAATTTACAAGGTCCCTTTGTGGAATAAAGTCCGGATTTTAAAGTGTCCCAATATGGGATTGTACAACAACTTGCAAGGTCCCTACATAGGAAAGTACAACAATTTACAGGGTGCCTACATAAGACAGTACAGCAATTAGCAATGTCTCTACATGGGATAATACAGCAATTTACAAGGTCACTACATGGAATAATCCAGCAATTGAAAGTGCCCCTACATAGAATTGTTCAGCAATTCACAAGGTTCCAATATGGGAAAGTTCAATTTACAGGGGGCCTATGTGGGATAGAACAGCAATTTAGAGGATCCCTAGAAGAAAAGTATAGCAATTTACAACACTCCTACATGGAATAGTCCAGCAATTTTCAGGGTACCTACATGGGACAGTAGAACAAAGTTCAGAAGGAAAGAACAGCAATTTAAAAGTTCCCTGCATGGGAAAGTACAACAATATACAGTGTCTTTCTTGCACACATTTGTTAATGTTTGATATGGTACAAATTTGCCAAACATTCACCTTTTCATCATCAGGTGTCAGAACAGGATAATCTCGAGCTTTCAATAGGTAAGTTTTTGCTGCTATATAATTTTTCATCCTTAGGTGGGTTTTACCAATCATCAGTAAATTCATGCTATAGAAGTCAGGATCCACTAAAATGGAAAATAAAATCTAGAATTTCATGCCATGAGAAAACTAATCATTTATTTTTTCTTATGCATATTTTAACCTAACAAGAGGCCCATGGGCCACAACGCTCACCTGAGTCAATATGGCCCTGCTGTTCTTTGTCAGCAGATTTCTTATTCTATATATTCATACGTAAAGCTTTGATCAACTGTTCTGGGCATAACCTATCCCCAGTTGCCATGTTTTGAATGAAATTGAATCTAAACTTTCTGAGGATGCTTCTATATTCATATTCAACTAATCATGGTTTTGCTGTTCTTGAAACGGAATTTTAAAGATGTCTGCCATCCTACCCTAGGGGGAAGGAAGGGAGGGGGGGTTCAAGAATTGAACAAACTTGAATCTACACTACCTTAGGATGCTTCCATATCAATATGACTAATTATGGCTTTGTTGTTCTTGAGAAGAAGATTTTTAAAGATATTTCTTATATATATTCTTTTGTTAAACTCTGATCCCCGATTATGGCCCCACCCTACTACTGGAGGATGCCTTGAACAAACTTGAATCTACAATACTTGGGGATGCTTCAATATCAAAATGACTAATCACGGCTTTCCTGTTCTTGAAAAGATTTTCCCTATTTATTCCTATGTAAAACTTTGATCCTCCATTGTGGACCCACCCTACCCCCGGGGGTCTTGATTTCGACAAATTTGAATCTACACTACCTAAGGATGATTTCATATGAATATGACTAATTGTGGCTTTGTTGTTCTTGAGAAGAAAATTTTTAAAGAATTTTCCTATATATTCCTATGTAAAACTTTGATCCCCCATTGTGGCTCCACCCTACCCCCGGGGGTCATGATTTGAACAAACTTGAATCTACATTACCTGAGGATGATTTCATATCAATATGACTAATTGTGGCTTTGTTGTTCTTGAGAAGAAGATTTTTAAAGAATTTTCCTATATATTCCTATGTAAAACTTTGATCCCCTATTGTGGCCCCACCCTACCCCCGGGGGTCATGATTTGAACAAACTTAAATCTACACTACCTGAGGATGATTTCATATCAATATGACTAATTGTGGCTTTGTTGTTCTTGAGAAGAAGATTTTTAAAGAATTTTCCTATGTATTCTTATGTAAAACTTTGATCCCCCATTGTGGCCCCACCCTATCCCCGGGGGTCATGATTTGAACAAATTGAAATCTACACTACCTGAGGATGATTTCATATCAATATGACAAATCATGGCTTTGCTGTTCTTGAGAAGAAGATTTTTAAAGAATTTTCCTATATATTCCTATGTAAAACTTTGATCCCCTATTGTGGCCCCACCCTACCCCCGGGGGTCATGATTTGAACAAACTTAAATCTACACTACCTGAGGATGATTTCATATCAATATGACTAATTGTGGCTTTGTTGTCCTTGAGAAGAAGATTTTTAAAGAATTTTCCTATGTATTCTTATGTAAAACTTTGATCCCCCATTGTGGCCCCACCCTATCCCCGGGGGTCATGATTTGAACAAATTTAAATCTACACTACCTGAGGATGATTTCATATCAATATGACAAATCATGGCTTTGCTGTTCTTGAGAAGAAGATTTTTAAAGAATTTTCCTATATATTCCTATGTAAAACTTTGATCCCCCATTGTGGCCCCACCCTACCCCCGGGGGTCATGATTTGAACAAACTTGAATCTACATTACCTGAGGATGATTCCATATCAAAATGACTAATTGTGGCTTTGTTGTTCTTGAGAAGAAAATTTTTAAAGAATTTTCCTATATATTCCTATGTAAAACTTTGATCCCCCATTGTGGCTCCACCCTACCCCCGGGGGTCATGATTTGAAAAAATTTAAATCTACACTACCTGAGGATGATTTCATATCAATATGACTAATTGTGGCTTTGTTGTTCTTGAGAAGAAAATTTTTAAAGAATTTTCCTATATATTCCTATGTAAAACTTTGATCCCCCATTGTGGCCCCACCCTACCCCCGGGGGTCATGATTTGAACAAACTTGAATCTACACTACCTGAGGATGATTTCATATCAATATGACTAATTGTGGCTTTGTTGTTCTTGAGAAGAAGATTTTTAAAGAATTTCCTATATATTCCTATGTAAAACTTTGATCCCCCATTGTGGCCCCACCCTACCCCCGGGGGTCATGATTTGGACAAACTTGAATCTACACTACCTGAGGATGATTTCATATCAATATGACTAATTGTGGCTTTGTTGTTTTTGAGAAGAAGATTTTTAAAGAATTTTCCTATATATTCTTATGTAAAACTTTGATCCCCCATTGTGGCCCCACCCTATCCCCGGGGGTCATGATTTGAACAAACTTAAATCTACACTACCTGAGGATGATTTCATATCAATATGACTAATTGTGGCTTTGTTGTTCTTGAGAAGAAGATTTTTAAAGAATTTTCCTATATATTCCTATGTAAAACTTTGATCCCCCATTGTGGCTCCACCCTACCCCCGGGGGTCATGATTTGAACAAACTTGAATCTACATTACCTGAGGATGATTCCATATCAAAATGACTAATTGTGGCTTTGTTGTTCTTGAGAAGAAAATTTTTAAAGAATTTTCCTATATATTCCTATGTAAAACTTTGATCCCCCATTGTGGCTCCACCCTACCCCCGGGGGTCATGATTTGAAAAAATTTAAATCTACACTACCTGAGGATGATTTCATATCAATATGACTAATTGTGGCTTTGTTGTTCTTGAGAAGAAGATTTTTAAAGAATTTCCTATATATTCCTATGTAAAACTTTGATCCCCCATTGTGGCCCCACCCTACCCCCGGGGGTCATGATTTGGACAAACTTGAATCTACACTACCTGAGGATGATTTCATATCAATATGACTAATTGTGGCTTTGTTGTTTTTGAGAAGAAGATTTTTAAAGAATTTTCCTATATATTCTTATGTAAAACTTTGATCCCCCATTGTGGCCCCACCCTATCCCCGGGGGTCATGATTTGAACAAACTTAAATCTACACTACCTGAGGATGATTTCATATCAATATGACTAATTGTGGCTTTGTTGTTCTTGAGAAGAAGATTTTTAAAGAATTTTCCTATGTATTCCTATGTAAAACTTTGATCCCCCATAGTGGCCCCACCCTACCCCCGGGGGTCATGATTTGAACAAACTTGAATCTACACTATGTAATGAAGGTTTCCCATAAGTTTCAACTTTTCTGGCCCAATGGTTCTTGAGAAGAAGATTTTTAAAAGAAGACACCAAATTTTCACTTATTCTTAATTATCTCCCCTTGGAAGAGGGCATGGCCCTTCATTTGAACAAACTTGAACCCCCTTCACCCAAGGATGCTTTGTGGCAAGTTTGGTTGAAAATGGCCCAGTGGTTCTGGAGAAGAAGTCGAAAATGTGAAAAGTTTACAGACGGACGGACGGACGGACAGACGGACTATGGACAAAATGTGATCAGAAAAGCTCACTTGAGCTTTCAGCTCAGGTGAGCTAAAAACTGTTAAATTACCTAGAGCAGCATTTAATTGATATATTTACAATCTTCCTATTGGTAAACAGTTTTCTAAATTTAATGACAAAGGCCTCAATGGTAGATAACATTTAACAACAGTAGATAAAATTTAATAGAGTTTGTGCTGAATGGGATACAAGGTAACAAGTAATGGAATACTGTATACATGGAAATTTTTGCCCCCTTCTATTTTTGCCCCTTTCGCCCTCATCGCAAGTGGGTGAATTCAAAACAAGCACATTAAACTAGCAAAAGTATTATATGTTAGTAACAACTATGTCTTGGCAAATCTAAAATGTGACAAAATTGCTTGGAAGTATGAAAAGGAGAAAATAACCCTGTATACAGTTAAAACATCACCAAGGAATAATTTTAAAAATTAAAGAAATATTTGTAAAACTCTTACCCTCTTCTGCTAGCTGAAAGTAATAAAGTGCCTAAAAATGAAAAAGAAAATTGATATCAACATCAAACAACAGTTTATTACCCTTTTAAACATTTTCTTTAATACCTGGTAACAATATCATGTTATGTGCAGCTCAAAAGATATGTTCCTAGTGAACCAATGATAAAAAAAAAATTGTTAACTGGACTTGAATTTGAACTTAAGGTGTCCTGTACCCAACATGTATGCTACACAAACTGAAATGCATGGTGGATCAAGGTATCATAAGGCCAATATTAATTTAATTTCCATAACCCCTCCCCCTTATCCATCTTCCAATTGTCTATAAATTGTTTTCCTGGGAATTATATTACATATGGGAAGAAAAGTCTGTCAGATAGCCTAGACTAAAATACAAGGTTCTCCCTGCTAACTGTACATTTTCTTCTACAACTGAGCCACTAGGATTAAAAATAGTGCCCAATCCCACTTATAGCAGCTGATCCACTCTTACCTCCGAGTAAGTCGAGGTTGGAGGGGTGGCAAACAGAGCAGCCGCTAGTTTACGTGTGTACCATGGCAAGTCTGCAAACACAAAACACCTGTAACACAAGTTAATAACTACTTTCTTTTGATTGGTAAGGATAACAGTTTTTTATTATTATTTACACACTGAATTGTCGACGGATTTTTCCGTTATTTTCTGATCATGACAAGGAGCACACAGCGGGTGTGACTGGTCGGCAGGGGATGCTCACTCCTCCATGGCACCTGATCCCACCTCTGATGTTTTGGAGGTCCGTGTTTGCTCTGCTCCTATTTTGTATTGTTTAATGGACTTTTGAGCTTGAATACTGTTCGTTATCTCCATATATTTCATTTTTGAAACCCTTAGATATAAAGTTAACTCTATACAAAGCCAAAGCTTTTATTTTCCCCACTTTTGTTTTCAATTCAAAGAGGTCTTTCATAGCTTTGTTTGATAAAATTCTGTAACATACTCACCAATAACCAATGGAATGTATAGATGTAGCATCCTTAGGATTTAATTCAACAGCTCTCTGAAAGAAAATAATATCACACCAGTTTGTAAAATTGTACAAGACAAACACGTACATATGACAGTATTGCACAGTCTTATTCTTTTTTATGCTTATTAAGCATGTTAAGATTAGCAATCAATTTAACAGCCAACAAATTAACCAAAAATCATTAGACCTTAGTGAAGAATTTTCACATCTTTCATAAATATGTATTTATATGTAATCATGCAAGTACATTTTTATTATATCTTATTATTTTTTGTAATTTTTCCTATAAAAATTGTACAAGAATGTTTTTTCCCAAGAATTTCAAGGTGTATTTATGATGAACTCTATGACAAAAAAAAAATTAAATAAAAATTTAAAAAAAAAAAAAAATTAATAAATAAAAATGACACACAAATTCACTCTATTAGTTGGTGTGTAAAATTATTCAAATTGGATAAAAATATAATTTAAACAAGAAGCCCATGGGCCACATCACTCACCTGAGCACATTGGCTAGAAAAAAAAACACAAATCAGTTCAGTATTGAAAAGTTTACATGTGAGGGGGGACTTTAATTTTAAACTATCTGAGGATGCTTCCATATCAATATATAACAAATGGCTTTGCTGTTCTTGAGCAGAAAATTTTTAAGGACTTTTTCCTATATATTCCTTTGTAAAAATTTGATTCCCCATTGTGGCCCCTCCCTACCCCTGGGGGTTATCATTTGAACAAAAATGAATCTATACTACCTGAAATGCTTCCATATCAGTATGACTAAACATGGCTTTTCTGTTCTTAAGAGGAGGATCATATCAATATGACTAAATATGGCTTTGTTGTTCTTGAAAAGATGATATTCAAAGTTTTTTCCCTATATATTCCTATGTAAAACTTTGATTCCCCAAAGTGGCCCTTCCCTACCCCCAGGGGTCATCATTTGAACAAACTCAAATCTACACTACCTGAGAACGCTTCCATATCAATATGACTAAATATGGATTTGTTGTTCTAGAGAAGATAATTTTTAAAGTTTTTTCCTGTATATTCCTATGTAAAACTTTGATCCCCCATCGTGGCCTTATCCAACCCCAGTGGGTCTTCATTTGAACAAACTTGAATCTACACTATGTAAAAAAGATTTCCTATAAGTTTCAACTTTTTTGGCCCAGTGGTTCTTGAGAAACATGCCACCAAATTTTCACTATTTTTGAATTATCTCCCCTTGAATGAGGGCGTGGCCCTTCATTTGAACAAACTTTAATCCCCTTCATCCAAGGATGCTCTGTGCCAAGTTTGATTGAAATTGGCCCAGTAGCTCTGGAGAAGAAGATGAAATTGTGAAAAGTTTACAATGACAACAACAACAGACAATGCAAAAATTTTGATTAGAAAAGTTCACTTGAGTCTTTGCCTCAGGTGAGCTAAAAAAAGAATGAATCTTCTGATGCATGCAACCTACATTATATGTTTTTAAGCTTTTTTATTATCTCTTGACAAAATAAGTACTGGGAACAGTTTTTGCAAAAAACTTCTTTACTTTAATTATTGCTTCAAAGAAAGTCAGTCTATAATTTTCTTGTGTCTGGCAGTTTAATCCCATATTAATTTGTTCTTGTCTTGCATCTCACTGTGAAATCCTAGATTTACAACTCACCAGGAAGTGTTTCTTAACAGAGAAGGAATTAGAAATCCTGGCTTTTGTGCCTTCATACTCCCCGGTGTAATCTAACAATACTGCATACCACTGAAAAATAAACCTAATGCTTTAAAATTTTACTAGCCTCCATAAATATTGCACATCTTTAATAAGGTATAATCAGATTATTAGTGATATTCTGCAAGGACTTATGAGTTTCCCAAGGGAATTGGGGATCATTTTGGTCCTAGATAGGATGATGAAATACAACAGTAAACAGCTGTTATCCAGCAGCATGCAGTCTTTGAAAATGACCAGTGGTCAAAGACTAAAACCAGTAACAATTGGGTCTGAACTTTTATTTTTGTCACTTCAGAGCAGAGTGACACTTAGGGATCACTTTACCCGGCATCTGTCTGTCGGTCCACTAGCTGTCACAATTATCTTAATATCTCAAGAACTATTAGAGGGAGGGATTCAATATTTTGGTCAGGTGTTACTTGGAACAATAACCTTTTGTAAAATACCAAAAGTAATGACCCTGTGACCTAAGAACTTTGATCTATTTTTCTAGATACTTCATAGTGCTGATATATAGCATATTCTTTGACATTTGAGAGTAAATTTGTGCTATTTTGCAAATGCACAGCTTGACAAAAAAGACATTTTGAAAGATACTATGAAGTCAACTTGGCCTTTGACTTTATACTTTTCAAGAATACTCTGAACCATTAATTTAACTTAGGTCTTTGGAATTTTGAGAGGTAGGGCTTTTATAACTGCATTATATTGCACATTAAATTTTTGGCCTCGTACACATTTTTTACCACACAAACTAAAATTTAAATGCATTCTGTTAGATGTAGGGAAATAAATTGGGAGTATACAGATTTGGATTTTACTTATAAAATTGTACATTGACAATGCAGTAAAGACAAAGTTGGACTGAAATCTCTCCCTGTGGGGATTGCTGAATTAAACATGTAAGAATAAATATGATTAAATAATAAAGAATTGTTTCAAATAATTTTAATTTCATTCATCATTTTAGCTTTGAGAGTTAAGGAACACATTTCTATTTGATTATCACATTTTATGATATATGCTATTCTATAGAAGTCTTACTAGATCTGTGGGTGTTTTTTTTTTCTTTGCAGGCAAATGCAAGCATACAAATAAATAGCTGACCACCCTTGGCTTTTATACTTTACCTTATATCTTTAATGTTTAATTGTTAATCAGAAGTATGAGTTTATATAACCATCTTGCACTGAAATTAATAGTACAATGTATTGAAGAATGCATGCCAATTAACATAACAATTGCCCATGCTCATGTTGCACAACCTTTAATATCTTGATTTGGTTTCAATGCCTATGTTTGATAATGCAATTATTTTTCATTGTGTAAATATACAAATATATAATACACACTTTTTTTTTTACAAGCTCTCTTGTTTAAGCATTCATACTATAAATAAAGGAAAATCTATTCAGTACATGAAATTTCCACGAAAGAAAAAACATAGGTAATCAAAGATTACGAAGCTCACCTCGACGAATGTTATCTACATGTAAGGCAAATTTCACATCATATTTTTTTTCTAGTTAGGGTACATCCCAAGATCAATATCCATGCAAGTTTGATTTAATTATAGATCTGCTCAAAAAACTTTTGACCTGTTTAGTAATCAAGAAAATTTTGGTCAGTTCCAACATCCAAAGCAAGTCTAGAAGTTTTCATCCTTAGATGCACCATCTATGCAAGTTTAATCATAACAGGCCATAATATTATAGAGCTACTCCAAAAAATTACCCTGGTCACTCATCTGGAAAATGTACGTCAGATTCAGAATCCAAGGCAAGTCTGGAAGTATCCATCCCTAGATACATCATCCATGCTAATTTGGTTAAAATATGGCTAAAATTCACTCATGTGGAAAATCTAGGTCAGATCCAGCATTCGAAGCAGGTTGGTTAGTGTACATCCCTAGATGCATCATCCATGAAAGTTTGGTCCAGGTAGGGCTTATAGTTACTTGGGAACGAGACTACTCCTAAATCTAAACCTGGTCTCACATGTGGAAAATCTAGGTCAGATCCAGCATCCGAAGCAAGTGTGGTAGTGTCCATCCCTGGATGCATCATCCATGCAAGTTTGGTCCAGGTAGGGCTTATAGTTACTTTGGAATGGACCTGCTCCTAAAACTTTAACCTGGTCACTCATCCGGAAAATCTAGGTCAGATCCAGCATCCGAAGCAAGTGTGGTAGTGTCCATCCCTAGATGCATCATCCATGCAAGTTTAGTCCAGGTAGGGCTTATAGTTACTTGGGAATGGACCTGCTCCTAAAACTTTAACCTGGTACACATCTGGAAAATCTACATCAGATCCAGCATCCGAAGTAAGTGTGGCCATGTCCATCCCTAGATGCATCATCCATGCAAGTTTGGTCAAGGTAGGGCTTATAGTTACTTGGGAATGGACCTGCTCCTAAAACTTTAACCTGGTCACTCATCCGGAAAATCTAGGTCAGATCCAGCATCCGAAGCAAGTGTGGTAGTGTCCATCCCTAGATGCATCATCCATGCAAGTTTGGTCCAGGTAGGGCTTATAGTTACTTGGGAATGGACCTGCTCCTAAAACTTTAACCTGGTCACTCATCTGGAAAATCTACATCAGATCCAGCATCCGAAGCAAGTGTGGTAGTGTCCATCCCTAGATGCATCATCCATGCAAGTTTGATCCAGGTAGGGCTTATAGTTACTTGGGAATGGACCTGCTCCTAAAACTTTAACCTGGTCACTCATCTGGAAAATCTAGGTCAGATCCAGCATCCGAAGCAAGTGTGGTAGTGTCCATCCCTAGATGCATCATCCATGCAAGTTTGGTCCAGGTAGGGCTTATAGTTACTTGGGAATGGACCTGCTCCTAAAACTTTAACCTGGTCACTCATCTGGAAAATCTAGGTCAGATCCAGCATCCGAAGCAAGTGTGGTAGTGTCCATACCTAGATGCATCATCCATGCAAGTTTGGTCCAGGTAGGGCTTATAGTTACTTAATTGGGAATGGACCTGCTCCTAAAACTTTAACCAGGTCACTCATCTGGAAAATCTAGGTCAGATCCAGCATCCGAAGCAAGTGTGGTAGTGTCCATCCCTAGATGCATCATCCATGCAAGTTTGGTCCAGGTAGGGCTTATAGTTACTTGGGAATGGGACTTGCTCCTAAAACTTTAACCTCGGACGCCGACGCTAACGCCGACGCCGACGCCGGGGGTATAGCATAAGCTCATCTCGACTTCGTCGAGGTGAGCTAAAAATCTCTAATGACTAATGACAGCCTTTTTTTAAAATCAAGCAATGTATCATTGGGCCATTCCAAGTTTTTTCTATGTTTAGTGTCCGCGTGCGCCTTGGTTTTTGGCACCTCTTATCAGAAAAAACAAACAAAATCAGGAGTCCTAAAATTGATTATCTTGGTTACAAATTTGGAAATTTGTCAAGTTCTTTAAATATTTCTCACTATTATTTCATATTATGTATATTTTAAGCATTTAAAACCTTGATTATACCAAACAGAAGATATTTCTATGAGAAAAATAGATTCATGAAATCAAATCCTTTGAATGATGTCATTTTTATTACTGTAAAGTCTGTGTTTTATTTTTTGGCTTGTGTGTTTTTTGCAAATAGGTAGGTAGGTTTTTGAAAGATGGGTGGACGCTAAACAGAGAAAAAACTTGGAATGGCCTTAGTATATTCATTTAAGTAAATCATTAGTACAGTCATTGAATAAAAAAGGAAAAATTAAATACCTTATGACAAGCAAAGTTCTTATCATTCAGCTGCAGTGCTTTCTTAGCATATTCAAATGCCTCATACATACAGGATTTCTTGACCTTTTGGTCACTACTGGCCTTGCCCTTGTCAGTAGCTGCTCGGGCCAGTCGCCACATGACCTCGTCACTTTCGCAGTCTTTAAATTCAATGAGGTAGTCATACAACTCCTGGATTTTGTAATCTAGATATAACTTGTCAGCAGTCTCTATCACAGTTTTTAATTCATCTGGCTTTTCCTCATCTACTAAAATAAATGATACATCAAGCCTCAAAGTAACATCTAAAATTTAGGCACCAGCTGGCTCCTAATAAAAAAATTAGTTGCCAATGCAAAATTTTAGTCACCAGACAAATTTTTCTCTGGTGCCAACTTTAAAAGCTGATAAACTAGGTGACCAAAAAAAAAAAAAAACCAAATAAAAGACACGTTCATTGCTAACTTTTCAATTTTTTTTCACTTCATTAGGAAAAAGATATTAAACATGTTTATATTCTGGAATTTGATGATCACCAAGGCAATATAAAATGGTCACCAATTTGGTGACTTATAGAGAAATTTTAGGTGCCATGGTGACTAAGCTAGTCACCAATTAGAGCCCTGTACATACAAAAAATTATCCTTTGTACATCAGTTTATAAATATATTTCTATACAAGAAATATATAAAATATGGTGAATTTTGCTGCATTTCTGCAATGACTTAACCTGAAACTTTCTTCTCTTTTGATTTCCCAAAGCTGAAGGCATACACTGTCCCAATTGGAGCTGGCAAGCAATACAAATGCCACTGCCTGCATGATTTCCCAATGTTTCTGAAAAAAATCTGAAATATACAATAAGATACACATATAACTCATTTGTATATCATTGTAATATCAAATTATATTTGTGAGTGCAAGATAATAATTCAATATCTAATTTTTTTGTGTTTTAAACATATTAATTTTGATTTTCATTCAAGTTTACATTTTTAATAGAACTTTTACTTTATCTATAATCAATTTCTTCTTAAATTAGCTGCAGGCATGTAGACCATTTGCATTTAACTGCCATATTTAATTTGAAATTCCAAGACATGGAAATGTTACATTCTTTTTTTTTCTACTTTGTTGTGGAAAAATAATACATGGCAAAGATTATAAAATCTTCTCCCCTGCTTCAGACCACCTGACCACTGGCAGGACCTGCATAACCAATCCATTTCTCTTTGTCCCAAGATACATGTACATCAATCCTAGTCTGTCTATGTAGATTTTAAGCCAGGTAGCTCAGGGAATATATAGCTCAATACTAAGTGCATGTAACTAAAGGGAGACAATTATGGAGCAGTATATGATTTCAAGTCCAGAAGTAACAGATCTTCAAAAACCAGCCATCATCCTACTGCAGCAGTTAAAGATGTCATACCAAATTGTCACACAGATTTTTTTTTTAATTTAATAGTTTATGTTTTGTCTTGTGTTCAGGGTTGAGTTAAAAATTAAGTGGAAATGCTCCCTAAATCGACTATAAATTATATTTCAGTGAATCTATTACAGTACGCATTTGCGAATTTTATCAGTATGTTCAAGCTTGATTTTTCTTAATCATGTTAATTAATCTTTAATACCAAAAGTGTAATGCATAAAAGCATTTGATCGAATGTCTATGAATTTTTGGGCCAAATGGGTGCTGAAATTCGGCTGAAGTCCTAATTAGAAATGTGTCTGTAACTTAATAACCAGAAGTTTTCCCTTGGAAAAATTTACTAAGTGTGGTATCAAAATCAGCTCGTTTATAATGTTTCTCAATAAAGTTCAAGCAGTTTAATTTATTGGTAAGCTTTGTCGAAACCCTTTATCATTCAATAATTCAAAGAATTATTGTTCTTGATATAAGCCATTAAATATGTCACACCATTTAAATATTCTTGATTAATATCAAGAAAATAATAAAATTTGATGTTGTTTTTCAAATCAATGGGTTTTCTTAAAATCTCAATTTAGCCTAATTGATATACTGAAATTCTCAACTATGAGGGCCTAACCCCCCCTCCCCCCTTCAGTCCTAAACTATTGAAAAAAAATTAAATAAATAAAAATCACTGACTTTATTTTTTTTCACTGGATTCATGGTTGATATTTATCGTTACTGAACTATTTCTGGAGAATGCTAGTAAATTTTCATTTCAACTAGTTAAGTAAAATTTTTTGGCACTAGCTAAAATTTGTAAAGGTTAATTTTGAACCCTGGTGACCAGGATTCAAAATAATGGTGTTCCAAAGTAATGTGAAGGTTTGCTCCTCCTAACTATCTTAATTAAATACAATACAGTAGTAACAGTACAGTAACTATGATGCTAATGTATTGCGTATTATCAGGGACCTATATACTAATATAGGTCCCTGGTATTATTTGATATTTTAAAAATATGTATATATATATATATAGACTTTTAAAGTAATAAACACTAACAGCTGACTGAAAACATGGAAAATGCAATTCTTTACCAAACTAGATTCCGTTGACTGCTGGTTGAAAATTGATAGGCCAAATAGGCCTGATTTAATGAGGTTTACTCGAGATCAATAAATTTTAAAACAATCATGAATATATACTCACCTGTCCAATACTTTGAAATTTCCTAAATGATTGGAATTTACCTAGTTTTCTACACAAAGAGAAAGCAAACACGTTTGTTACTTTGGAAAACATTATGAAGAACTGTTGCTGTCTGCATCACGCCTTAGAATTGACCGTTTTAATCTTCTTACGTTGAAGAGTCGCAGGTGGTTCTTAACCATTTCAATTTGGACACGATAAAAACCTGTTGCAGTCGAACGGAATTAATTTAAAATTCGTAATTACAGAGGATGGTATATAACAAATTTTAAAAATGTACAAAACGTCTACTCCCCACCGCCACTTATTTAGAGTGAGCTCAGTTCGATTATCCCCCTTTTGCGAACTCTTCATAAGTAAATTAACAAAAAAGTTTGCCACGAAATATCGAGGGAAGAAATTATGACAGGCGAGCCAAGTTATTTTTGGACAGAAAAAATGTATGCCTTTGGCCATAAACAGTAGAAATATGTTGTAGACAAAAGGCTTAAATCGTTACGTATAGCGATATTTTCTAATTTCCTTTGATGTGAAGTAAAAATCGATAGAGGTGAAGCGATCGGTGATATTCCACCCTGCCAGTGAATCATAATTTTGAATCTCAGCACACCGAAGCATAATGTCGTCTCAACGTTTTACGGTAACAAAGGCAAGCGAAGAATCGCCAATTGGTGAGGGTAGTGATTCCTATGGGTCAGTTCCTTTTTCAGCAAAGAATGGAAAAATTACAGGTAAGTTTGGTACAATGCCCAGAATACAAGATTCTTTGAGCAGGTCAGAAGTGGCCACTTTACATGATTCTGTTGTAGCAAAAACAGTAACAGTTACATTTTTATTACACACAGTTCTATTCAAAGAGCTTAAGACATTTTAGAATATATTTTTCCCATAAGTCAGTAAGTTTGAGTGAGTTTAAAACGAGTTTTTAGAAATCACTTTTTCAGTATCTTATCTGTATGTCTGTATCTTTGATCCTATGAAAAATATTTTGCATTTTTCCTCTATTAATAGTGGAGTAAGCTAGGATATAACAATAATATATAGAAATAGAATAAATGTTAGTAATTTATGCAAAAAGTCTAAGGTAATCAGTAGTTTGTGTTTAATTATCATGATACCTAGTGAAGACAATTCATTTGATACACTTCAGTTTGATAATTTTGCCCAAGGAAATTTGTCTTCATGCAGATACCATTTTTCAGTGGTTGGGTTGGGGAATAATTTCTGCAAATAGAATTTTATATACACCTACTGTACTTAGCTTTGAACAGTGACAATAGATGAATTGAAGTAGTATCAATCCATTAGTGCATGTACATTGCATATGTTCAAAGCTTTGTGTATATACATAGACTCCTCAAAGTCGTATTCTTTTGAACATATAGTAAATGAAACACTATAGAGAAACAAATAAGTCAGTGTTTTTGGTAGTTTATTATGCTGATTGACATGACAAACAAAGTCAGTTGGGGGTTGATTTGTTGTCAAGATCAATAGATTACCTAGGAAACAGGATATCCAAAGCTGAAGGAAGTGACATAACTTGAAATCTTTAGTAAATTAAATCAACTTGATACATGTATCTATGGTACTGTTATAATATTAACTATAGTTTGCATAAAGTATATATATTATATGAATCTTTCTATAAAGTATTTATTATATGTATATTTCTATTTATGTATAACAGAGTAAAATAATTTTCAACAATATCAGATTCTGTCTACAAAATAATCATTAAAATGATTGAAAATATTGCAAATGGATTTAAGAATATTAAATATTAATACACTGGAATATTTGTTTATATAATATGTTTTATAGATTTTGCTTAACAACCTGTAATGTCACTTATATATGTATACATGTAGATGCTTGTTTTCTCTTATTTGTGGTGAGTAAAAATTTGTATTTTGTTGCTATCCTTTTTTTTTAAATTTTCTTTTTCTTTCATGTCCTGTTTCTTCACACCAACTCCACACAATATAGGACAGTATGGAGCTATATTTGGTAATGTCACTAACAATATTTGTAACATTACTTAATATAAACAGAAATAATATATTATTCATAGAAAATGAGATAGTGCAAGACCATTTCTTTCTCTTTCCATAAGCCACATGTCTTTTTGCAGAGTTCCAATATCGTTAATATCTCTTTAATATTTACACAGAATTTAACAGAAAATATGTCACATCCAAAAGATTCTTTGGTAGATTAAGTTTCAGGAAATTTTTGAAAAACAATTACTGGCATACAGTTTTGCAGTTCTTTTCACTATGATTTCTAGGACATATTTTCCACCATTGGGATACCCATGGGTGATCTCATCTTTGAATGAGATTGCCTGGGTATCCCTGACTATCCCAGGATAATACTTCCATACTGTTGCAGACTGTTCCATTGTATTCACTGTGTAGCGCTGAAAGGTTTTCCACTTTCTTTAGAGTAAAAAAAAACCTTATCTACTATGACAGTGTCCTTTTTGAAAACATTCAGTGTTCTAGCCACTATGAATTATTGTATTCTGTATACAGGGTTATTTTTGCACTGTGTAATTTTCATTCTTTTATGCTTAGAAACAATTTTGCCCCGTCTTAAATTCACCCACACATGGTTGTGTTAAAGAAATGAATGCTAGCTGTCTTTTTTAAATTCATCCCCTTTTAATTCTGCCACTTGCAGTGAGGACAAAATTGGTGAAAATACAATGGGGGCAAAAAATTAAATTTCCCTGTATACAGTAATAATTACTAAGCAAAAAAAAAGGGGGGGGGGAAGGGGGGAGGTTGGGCCTGAGGTGTTAAAGGTGGAATGTACATTAAACATAGATTTTAGCACACCTGAGCCGTAAGCTCAATTTGCTTTTTCTGGTCACCATTGTTAGGCATACGTATGTCTGTCAGTCCATCTCTATATATAAGCATAACACATTTGCATTTTATAAATTTTGACCAACAATCATTACAAATAAAAGATACAAGATATCCTTGAGTAAAGGGGATTCAGAATTGCTCATATGAAGGGTTATGCTCCCTTCAAGGGGAGATAATGAAGAAAAGGCAAAAATAGGTTAGAATCATTTAAAAATCTCCAAAAACTACTACTTGGCCAGAAAAGATGAAACTTATGTAAAAGCTTCTTTACATAGTGTTAATACTGATTTGTTCAAATAATGTTCCATGGGGTTAAGATGGAGCCATAATATGGGTTCAGAGTTTAACAAGTGAACGTATCAAAAATAATTAAAAAAAACTCTACAAGACCCATGTACCCGGTACAAGCATCCTCAGGGATTGCAGATTCAAATTTGTTCCAATCATGGCCCAGTGGTAAGGTAAGGCCTGCTGCCACAATATTGGTTTAAAGTTTTGCATGAAAATATATTGGAAAAGAAAATGTTTTGGATTTCCTCTCAGTCTGACTTTTTCGGACATTTTTAAATTAATCAATTTTATTTGTTTTCATATTATAAGCAGTGTGGATGGGCAAAGCAGGTATTTGCCGGTATAATATTGAATACTACATAATATAATAAATGTAAAATATAAGTATTATATATATTCCTTAGTTTGCAGGATGTGACATATAGTCCATTTTCATATTTTTTTTTCTTTGAAATTTTGCCTTAATATATAGAGTTTTAAAATTCATTATAATAAATTATTTGGAAAGTACAGTAAATAGATACTCTGCAAAAGGCATGAGCATAGTAACCCAAGTAATTAGTTATATATAAAATCACCACATCACACACTTATTTTAAAATTATTAATATTAAGCACATATGTTGAATATATTTCATACTTTATCATGGAAAAAGTGTAGTAAGATTCCTGACAATATATGTATCACAAATCTTACTAATAGGTGAATACACTGCATTGAAAGAATGGTAATGGTTTTAATTAATGTATATTTATTGCAATTTTACTAACAAAGTTCTAATTTGGGTGTTTGATTACTAATTAAAGTATCAACTAGTATAAGAAAAGTACTTGTTTAATTTTACATGATCTTGAAAACTTTGTAATTTAATTGATAAAATGTACATTGATCAGAGTTTGGAAAAAAAAGTACAGGTGGACAATGCTTGTTGATTAATATTATAGGACAATTAATACATGCCAGGTCAATTTAAGTTTGCACAGTGCTGTCTATTTACAGAATAAGCCTAAATGTTCTTTAATTGCCTTTAGGTACATCTTTACATAAATATTTTGCTCATGTTCATAGGCCATGCAATGTTTTTGCCTTCAAGATGTATTTATTGAATAAGAGTTATCTTTCCTTCGTCTGTTTGCACCCCGATATGATAAGCTGCTTTGCTGTTTTTTTTTCCACAATATTAAGCAGTTTTCCTTTCCAAGCTCCCATGTGAGGGTTACAGTTTGTTCTTAATTCCCTTAAATTTCATCCAAGAGTTATGATGCACTCCTTTGGTACCACCAAGCATTATGACCCGCATATATTCCATCCTCTCTATGCTAAAACAGATGATTCCTTTTTTCCTCCCCTCTTCACCAAGGAATTTGATCCACCCCTTTCCATCTTCTTCCACCAAGAGTTATGATCCTGTCCTTCCCTCTTCTCTTCACTAAAAGTTATGACCCATTCTTTTCATCCCCTTAAGGCTTTCCATGAAAAGTTAACAATGATCTCCTCATCTCCTTTCTCAGTTGGCCATAAATAGAAGATTTTTGACACCTCCCACCCCATTGACCCCACCTCACTCCCAGTGGAGAGTTATGATAAACTTTGTACCAGTATCTCCATCTCTGCTCTTCACTATGGTTTAATCACATCATCTGTTAGAGAGGAGTGTATTAAGTAAATCCTTTGATATCAAAGGTAAACAAAAAAAAAAAAGAAAGAGAGAAAAAATATCATTAATGCACCACAGTTAGCACTTCGGATGTGAACTTCTGGAGTTTTATTACAAAAATTACTTCCAAATTATTCATATTGAGTTATCTTATTTCAATATAAGCATGAACCCAAGTTGATAATGATTACTAACTGTAAATTTGATGTCCTAAAGCTCTATTTCCATTCACCCCCCCTCCCCCCCCCCCCACCCCCCAAAAAAAGATTCTCAACTGTTCAAAAGATTAGGATTGAGATAAAATCCTGTACTTGAGTTCCAGATGTCCTTTGCTCCTCTATTTGGTTATAA